CTCCTATAATAATTAGCAAAGGCTAGGTATCGTTTTACGTCGTCCGCGTTCGAGGGAACCGGATACTTGCGCAATGTCTCTATTTTGCTATCGTCGGGAAAAATACCTTGCGACGTTATTTTGTGTCCTAAATAAATAATTTCGGTTTGTAAAAATTCGCATTTCATTGGATTTAATTTTAAATTGACTTTTCGTAAACGTTCTAATACAGTTACTAGGTTTTTATTGTGATTATCTATGCAATTTCCAATAACGACGCAATCATCTAAATAAATAAAAGCTTGATTATAATTGATACCTGACATAGCAATTGTCATTAATCGCGAGAAAACACTAGGAGATGTTTTTAATCCCATAGGAGAACGCTTCATCTGATACATTTTATCAGTTGTAAAGGCTGTATATTTTCGGGATTCTGGGTCCAATTCTAGTTGGTACATTTTATCTACACTAAATGCAGTATATTTTCTTGAGTTTTCGTCTAAGCATAATTGGTAATAACTTTGTGATAAGTCTAGTTTTGAAAAATAAATACTACCTGATAAGGAATCTAAAATATCGGTTATATTTGGCAAAGGGAATTTATCATCTTTTATTCTGTTATTAAGTTGCCTATAATCAATAACTAATCTCCATTTCTTTTCGTTTGACCTATTTGTTTTTTTTGAAACTAAAAGAACTGGACTGGACCATTCCGAAATTGTTTCCTCTATTATATCGTTGGCTAACATATCATCAATTTGTCTTTGTACCTCTTGCTTTAGCGAATGAGGTATTCTATAGGGCTTTATATAACAAGGAGAGACATTATCCTTTACGGATATGCTATGAGTCATAACATTGGTAGTCGATAATTTATCTCCTGGAAGATGAAAAACATCTGCGTATTTCGCACAAATATGTTCGATACTACGTCTTTCTTCCTGATTCATATTTGACAAATTCAATAACTCAAACAATAATTTTACTCTACTCACACTATTCTGTTCTTCCGAAATACAACATACGTCAAAATAATTCAAGTCATAAATAGTTATATTTTGAAAATCATATTCTACTTCATTACTTGTAGTATTTAATATTCTCACGGGAATGCGACCATTATTTGGTTTCGCAATTAATCCAGCTACGAAAACTCCTTGCTGAATCTCTTTTGATAAAACAACGCAATCGCTAGAAAATGATGTAGGAATAAACCTTATTACTTCGCACCGCGGCGGAATCAAATGTCTGTACCTAGCGTTATACGATATTTCAATAGAAACATTCATGTTATTGTTAGTTAATTGTAACACACTATTTTTATAATTTATTATCGCATTATAGCGTTTTAAGAAATTATCTCCTAAAATACCATTAGCTGAGCAAGACATATTTTTAAAAACGTAAAACTTTTCTCTAAATACTATATCATTATAAACTAAAGGACAATCTTAAAATTGGCCTAAGAATCAACACCAATTTGGCATTAACGATTATTCTTAGTATATTTTTTGCGATAATTATCAGTATTTAGATTGTGACGGACACTTCCAGTTAAGTAAGGTAAATTAAAAAGTTAAAAATAATCTGAGACAATAAATAACATTTTATGTGTATAATCTATGGCAGCGCTGCAAACAAAACACTCTTTCTTCCTAATACCGGCACTTCACATGGCTATTCGTATTTGCTATTTTAAAACATGACATCAGTCTGTCTTTTCATTCCTTATTAAGCATGACAAGGACAAACTGTTGTCAAGTGAAGGGCCGGCATAAAACTCGTTACTCTGTGGTTGTGGTGCATGCAGTTTGCATTCGTAGTAATCTGTGGCATTCGTGCATTCCCAAGAGTAGTTTAACATAGCGGAAAGTGCATTCTCGTTTCGGATTACCTGTTGTATGTGTTTATTTGCGATTGTTTTTCCTTTAATTTAACTATTTCGGCTATCTAATATGCCATCGATGTTACCAAAGAGCAGAGCCCTTATTTCCAAATGCTAGTGAACCACAACGTCCTGAGAGGATCATACTGCCAAATTATTCAAGAACACCTGATACTTATTCATGCTGTATATTTACACAATATACATGTGATATTCAAATAAATACAATAAACAAATGATACAATTATGTGAAAAATAGTCAATAAATAAGAAGCAAAACTACAGTTCTTATTTTATTCATGATTCCTACCTAACCAAGTTTTCACTAATAGTTATTCTTTAAAATCGCACCCAATAAAATGAATTAGTTGTAATATTAATTCACTTCATACTGAGTTCATACCGAATTCATAGGTTGACCTATGTTTCAGTGAATATTAAACATAACCTCAAAAAAATTTGAGTTTTCCTAATAATTTAAGTTCTCAGAAGTGTCCGTCAATAATCTTTGTTTTTACAGTCATTTACTTACGATTTTGAACCTAGAAAATAATATTTCATGATTGTTGGTTCTTAGGCTAACTATGTATGGACGCTGAACAATGTCCTTTAAAAAAATATAACCTTCCGATTCTAATCTTCCACTTACTCCCTTAATAGTTATTCTATCATAACATAAGTATTTTAACAACTGAGGATACTTACTAAGCCATTCATACCTTAATACACAGAGACTTGCTCCACTATCGACTAAAAGATTTATTATCTCGTTACATACAAGGAAAGTTACTGTACTACTGTTATTAAAATTAAAAATAAAATTATCTGAATTAACGAAAAAAATCACTTGTCGTGTCATAATTAACATTTTGATTATTAGTACTAGTGGAGGGCAACTCGTTTTTTACGGGTGCCATCTCCTCAACGACAGTGTGGCGTATTGGTGCAGCTGATCTACGTGACCTTGTGCTATATGATCCACGTGCACGACCTTGTTGATATGTTGCACCGCGCGATGAGCTGTAAGAGCCGCGTGGTGTATTGGGTAAGGGTTTCGTATTATAGCGATTGTAATTATTTGAATAATTACCGCGTGCTCTCATAGTGTTATTACTATTACGATGACAATAATTGCTACCACGATAAAAGGCTTTACGACGACTGACATTCATTACCTCGAATGATGAAGACAGGGACTGCTCATCCATGGCAGTTCTGATGGCTTCCGGCAAGGTCTCGAACTGTCTCGATGCTATAATAGTACTAAGTCTACGGTCATACAAACCATCTGCGAAGCGCTTGATAGCGATTCTCTCATTAATTGGTTTTAAAACTTTGTATGAATTAGGATCACCACTAGACTGAGCGATTGTTAAGTTGACAAATAAATTTTCTAATTCTGAACCAAACGATTCGATAGATCGATTGCCTTGTTTATAAGATGTTTGCGCATGTCATTTAAAAGATTTTCAATTGTATCGTAAGTTGAACTCAGCCGTAACTGTGCGCTCGGTGAAAGTCGAGTTTTTAAAACAAATTCAATTAATTGACTTTTAGATTTGTCCGAGATCATCTTACTGTACAATTCTATACTATTTATAAGGGAATTAGTAACAGACTCTTGTCCCGTCATTACAGGCAATAAGGCTATGGCAGTTTTTAAATCAAACTCGCAATTATCACTCATTTTGACTGTTTCACTTTGTTTCTGCTCAGAAATTGATAACTCTATAATTTTATTAAAAATTTGATGAATTTCATTTATTATTTTATGGATGGAAGTTATATCACTAGTAGAAATCTGTTCAGTTTCAATTTGAGAATGCAACACAGACAAAATACTCTCCAACTTTGAATATAAAACTTTTGCCTCTTTAACTTTTTTCAAACCAAGGTCCTGTTGCCTTCCTTTAGGTCCTAATTTAACTAAATAATCTCTAAGATATACTAATGATTTATGTAGTTCATGAATTTCAAATACTACACCTGACATAATTATCTAAACTAAAAACAATAAAAATATTAAGTACGTGCTTCATAACGATAAATTGAAAATAAAAATATTTAAAAAATATATGATTACATACTTTTTAATTTGGTTGTTCAAGATACACCTTTTTACTAAGATTCTTCCGAGGGACTGGGGCAGGCGAGCTGGCTGCAGTGGTGCTGATACGGTGATATGACTGGCTGCCGATGACCGATGATGACAGACGTTTTGGCCGGGCTGAATCCTGGACTCCTCTTGTTAAACTTCTTAGACTGCGCTGGTAGTGAGGTCAGCTCGTGAGATGGTGGCTATGTTGTTCCTGTTGAGCTCTCGTTGTATGGTGCGAACAAAATGTTTATTGCATTTCTTGAAAATGTAATAAATTGCAGCAAACAGGATTATGCAGACGGTCGCTCCGATCAAAATTTCTAGGATAGCCAATTTTTCGCTCTGGGATTGGGATGCTGTTGCCGAAGCTGCTCCATTTGCGTTTTGAGCTATCACAACTTGTTCTTTGGATGCCGATTTTCCCATTATCTGTTTCTTCTGTAATCTCTTGTAGTCTTAGTTCTTGGTGGAAGTATATTACACGATTCGAATGGCAAGGGTCGCCATCTAATATTAGCCTATCGTTGGTTATAAGGAAACATAGTTTATAGTTTGAAGTCCGTTTATTGAGTGCAATAAAACATTACAAAATAATTGAATTAATAATATTGCTTACTTGCTAAAACTATCTACGTAAATAGCGGATTGCGACATGACCTAATTACGTTTCCGATAGGTATACACTACAATAACCTCAAAATCTAATACATTCTGTAGTAGGCCACTGTTCCTCAAGTTGTCCGTATCTCAACAAATGCTTAATTAGAGTTTATGAATGATTCCGAACACAACTAGCATTTTCTCATTGCTGGGCGTTATAGGGCATTCAATGTATGGGGAACGAGCAATGTCCTTTCATGAGAATAGGGAAAGCCGTTTCGGAGGAGTTTAACCACAAACACCGCGACACGAGAATTTTATATATTAGATATACCTACGTGTGTGAGATTTGCTTATGTAGTTGAGTCGGATCATATTTTATTTGAAGCTAGTATGAGCGTACCATATCTTCCCTTTTTGTTAAAATCTAAGTACCTGATATATCCGTGCCGTAGCCAATCTCATTCCACACTGATGCGAACAATATTTAGATCCATAATGTGCTGCCCTCGTACACTGCGGTCCGTAGCACTGGCGAGGCTCCGCGGTCTGAAGGTGTGCCAGAGACTCTTCGGGCTCCGCCACTTCGCGCTCGTGGTGCTTCTTCTTGACACGACTACTGCTGTATTGGGTGCTGATGGAAGATTCCGAGGTAGAACACAGCTATACTCTACACGAGAAGGACGAGCAGCTTGACGGCGCAAGTGGTTAGCGCAATCGGCTGCGATCGTTGAAGCTAAGCAACTTTCGCAGTGGTCGGTAGTTGGATGGGTGACCAAACATTTACTATCTCGAGCTCCTCCGTGCTTCGGAAGCCACGTTAAGCCGTTGGTCCCAGCTGCATCTGCAGTCGCTAGCACACACCAATCCGCACTGAGCCCGTGTGGTGGATCATGGCCCAATTTTCCTATTCCATCCACATGGAAGACCTGTGCCCCAGCAGTAGAGATTGATAGACTGATGACGATGATATACAATAGGGGATGGGACAGTCTATCTAGGGTAGTAACCACCAGCTACAAAAGACTGGAGTGAAATAGACCAGCTACAATTAAACAATATGCTTGCTACTTTGATATAGCTAGCGTCTATAGGCTTTAATGACTGTTTACTGTTGGCTGGGGCATAATATACTCAGTTTGCCACACTTGTTAGATAAAAAACACATCTAGTAAATGTACAAAATCAACCAGTCGAATAGAAATTAGAAAATGCCTAATGCTTTTTCTAATTTCCATTCCATTTTTCTAATTTCCATTCCAACTAGTCGAATGGAAAATAGAAAATGATAATGCTTTTTCTAATTTCCATTCGACTGGTATTACCATATAATTATGGTTCTAATATGAAGAAGCCTATTTGTAGCAATTGTCAAGTGTTAAAACAAAACTGATAAAAAATTGTATCACATTAGGGAGTTAACATGTGAGATTATCTGTTGAAGTTAGCTGACTAATAATTATATTAATTAATAATATTAAAAATTAAAAGATGGGTAGTTCTTAAGAGAGGCTGTTAGACAACTTGGTAATTCCTCGTTTCCAATTAAGAGACAAGTCATATACTAGTTTTAAACAAAACTTTTAAAATACTTGTTGTGACTGTTTAAAACATTCTTTTCATCCCACCACCTCGGAAAGTGTAATTTTGCGCTTCGAAATCTGGCTGGAAAATTCTATTTTATTCGCTTGAGCGGCAAAGTAGATTTGAATTTAGAACATCACATATAATGAGTACTCAATATAATTGTAAATTCAAAACGTCATTAAACCTATTTAATGTAACCTCTATGGTGCCAAATTTATGATTAGAACTTTTTAAATTGTGAAAAAATTTAAATTTGGAACCTTCTTGGTTTCTTTGTTTTATTTGCGTGCTTCGCGCCATTCTAGTTTTTCACGTTTTATTGCTTAAATATTTTGTCATTATAAATTGTTTTCTTTTTCATTTTGTCATTTCCTCGCTGAGGTGGGATGAAAAGTTACGTATTGCACTCGAGTGGAAAGATTTTTCACCTTGTGCTCGTTTGTTTCCCTCGCTGACGCTCAGGATTCTAATTTAGAATCACTCGCTGCGCTCGTGATTCAACTTTAGAATCCTTCGCTTGCTCGGTCATCCAAATCGAGCACGCGGTTAAAAAGGAACTTTCCACTCTTGTATAATAAATAACTATTTTTTTACACTGAACAGACAACTAGTATCTTACAAGTATAAATCACTTATTTACTTCACATATTTTGTTTATCAAACAAGTTTAATTCAAGTATTGTATACTTCATATTTTATACATGTATATAAGTATGAACAAAATATTGAGACATTGTATAAAATTTGTTAAATACATGTATTATTGACGACCTCCATAGCCGAGTGGTTTGTACACCGGGTTTCATGGCTGTCGCCGACTCGAGAAGTCCCGGGTTCGAATGCCGGTGAGGACAGATGTTTGTGTGATGAATACAAGCATTTATACTCCAGTCATGGATGTTAATATGTATTTATACTAGACTTACAACGAATATTCGGTTACTATTCGGTATTCGGCCTATTCGGCTGCTTTTATTATATTCGGCCGAATACCGAATATCTACATATTATTCGGCCGAATACCGAATACTTAAATAATATATTTTGTCATAGAAAAATAATTGGTAAAATTAAAAAGTAAAATCGATTGATTATGTATATATTCATATTTTCATTTCTGTTATATAATCATTTAAGTTGTCATTGGTACATAACACAGGTACATAATCATCTTCTGTATTGGTAAAATGGAGGATTCTATGTATTTGAATTATTGTGGTAATCAAAATTTAGAAGGGTAAGGTTCTCATTTCTTTTATAATCATTTATTAAGTAGTCATTGCTACATAAAACAGGTACATAATTAATCATTTTCTGTATTAAACAAGTTAACAGTTTTTAATTCATTCAGCCATGTGATGAATGGTTACATAATATCAATAATTTAAAGTTTACGCGCCGTTTTTGGCCATATCTCAAAAGTTGGTTTTGTCATTTAGCCGCATTTTAGCTTGAGGACGGCAGATTAGAACAAAACAAAGGAGCGCGAAACAATCACGTCTGAACAAGTTTTTGGCGCTAAAATCCAGCCGAATACTTTTGCCTAATATTCGGCTATTTGGTCAGGGGCCTCGCCGAATATTCGGTATACTGCGGAATATACTATTCGTTGCAAGTCTAATTTCTACATAAATATACTTATATACGTACAGTATATGTATTCTATCCGTAACCCTAGTTACCCTAGTATCCCATAACACGACCTAACAGCTAGGCTAGGCTAATTGGTGTGTTTGAAATTTTATTATCATTATTATTATACCTTGGTGTAAACTAGAGGTAAGATAGAAATCAACTCACCTTTGAGGTTTGGATGTTTTCTTACTCTTGATACACATTCTCATTTTACACTTTAGCTTACTCTTATTGCTGCTGCCATATTTAAATATTTCCTCGCAGGCATCACAACTGAAAAGATTAATAAATCATATTGACAGCTGAAAAGCTAAATTGGATGCCAGTTTGTTAAAAAACTTGCCAGTTGCTTAAAAATTAACTAAATTTCAGTTATTTGTTTCTTAAGTTTTCACACACATCACTCATTAAATATAACTAGTTTAACGGATTAATGCACAAACTTTTTTTTTTCATTATTCTGACGATGCAGACCTGAAAAGGCTGCGAAACGGCAATAAATAAATAAAGTTCATGCATTAATCTGTTAAAACTAGTTTTATTTAATTTCAGATTTTATTCAATGTTCATTTTTAAGCAGCACCTGTGGGGACTGATATCAATATTACTCTTTCATTACTTTCACTTAAATTAATCTATCTAGTATAAATTTAATTCATTATCTACTACTTGAGAATCCCCCTTCTAACAATATTTTTCAAGTATCTTTCCAGAAAGATCTTTATAAAAAGATACTTGAAAAATATTGTTAAAAGACAACAAACAAACATTATAAAAATATACTGACTGTCCACAATCATTTAATTGTAAACAGCCTGGGCAATCACCGCAACCATCCTTGGTGTTTGCTCTTTTTGAAGATTTATTCTCAGAGTAATCCTTTTCTTTCCGTTTCTTTTTTCTATCCTCTTTTCCTAAAACAAAATAAAACCATGTATTCAGTATAAATACAGTATATAATTCAGTATACATTTTAAAGCTTAGGGAAGTAAGAGTTACGTTTATATATGAATGCTATTTGTATACAGATGTAAAACGTGTTGCTTAGACTTATTCATACCTGAGTCTCCTTCATTTTCTCTCTTCTGAGGTCTGAATCTAGTTTTTAGACTGGGATCCTCCTCTCGGCAGCGGTCACAGAAATAATTCTTTATATATTTTGCCTCCCTCTCCGAAATATTGATACAATCACCATGATACCACTCTTCGCAGGCATCACATGCTCTGAAATTTTAAAATATTATGTTTATATAACTTTGACAATGTTTATTTCATAAAATCTCACTACTATATACATAATAAAGAACTGATAAAATCCTTGCTTGTCTGCTATGTTTGCCAGATGTTTTTTCAAAAAAAAACATATTAAAAGTGCTACTTTAATAACTAAGTATAATTATCAAAATGATATTACACAAAGATGCACTACATGGGTCAGGGGCAATGCCATCTTTGACCTATTGGAGGCCCTGGGCATATTAGGATAATGAGGCCCATATGACTTCCGTTTAGTGATTTAACAGGAACTAGGGACTTTGTATTTGATCTGAGGGGGCCCCCTATCGATCGCGGGGCCCTGGGCACTTGCCCAATGGGAAAGATGGGTCTGGTCAGGGAAAGATGATTTTCTAGATACATAATGGGTACCTACATCATAAATCGAGAACTATCAGAAGAACGACAGATACAGTATGCCTGACCAGCTTGGTTTATCAACGTCGTGATTTTTGACTGACGCTCCGGCAGGTCGAATTGCTTCGCAATATCAGCTTTCTGGAAAACAATATTGGGCATTGATAAAATGCTTTAATGTAGGAAATATCAAGAATAATAAAATTAAAGTAAGCAGTTTACAGTACGTACGCTTTGCTTGTATTTCTTGTCACCCATTCTGAATTATAAAATAATTATAAATGTACAAAACCGCCAGCTGTTTCTCTCTTTTTATCAGAGGTAGTTTCGATTTAGGTAGTATTTATTTAATTATTTTTTAGAAAATACAAAAATTCCTGATGAGCGACCTGTCTGTTTGTTTTTTTTTAATTTTTTCCCTTACCTAGGAAGGCAAAAGCAACGACGCCCATACAGCTTTATCTTTAACCATTCTTCCATTTTTATAAACGTTTCTTGGTCAATTTAAATATTTCTATACATGTATAAATCAAAGCTTGGCTGCTACGTTTCAATCACATTTATATATCAGCTCACACGTTACATAGTTCAAGTTCACAGTGACCGTTAGCTGGAAACTTCCCAGACTACCTATTAGTGGTGAAGGGACCCTTCACTACAGTTTAACCCTTACAACAAGAAGCTTATTGTAAAAGGTGAAGTTATACATTTAAATATTTAAAAATGTCATACGAAATACCAAAAATATGAACAGATAATAAGACTGTATGGTTTTGACTTCTATTGTCTTCCTAATAGGAGAAGTCGAACGAAAAATAATAATAGTGAATGGGGGTGGGGGTGCCGTTGCCATAGAAATAAAATTTGTTTACATTTACAAAGAGGTTACCTATTTGTTAATTAACATAAATAAGTTTTCAAGTGTTTCAAGTTAACTAATATAGAAGTAATCCCATACCATTGCATAATGGAAGACCTAGATACCCCACAAATAATAACACATATCGAAAATAATATAAATCATTCCATATTCGATTGTAAATGGATACCGTGTTCAGCAAAGTTTGTTGTGATCGGAGGTTTACCAAAGGGCAGTGGTACTATAGAAATATTTGAAATTACATCGGGGGAGGCACGCAAAATAAAAGATATCGAGAGACCGAACTCCTTCAAATGTGGTACTTTCGGTGCTAGCAGTGATGTGGAGAGAAGGCTTGCTACCGGCGACTTCAAAGGGACTCTCGAATTGTGGTGCGTGCTGCTACTTTAAATAATTAGTATAAGGTTTTTGTATAAAAATGTATTAAACAAAATTAAAGTGACTTGCTAGAGCAACTTCAATATTAGCTGCTACCGAATGTATGCACTGTATGCTCTCAACGATACATGAATCCCTGCTTCAGGTAAAAAAATAATATAACGGATGTCAGGTTGTGTATTGATCAGGTAAGAGTACTAAAATATTAGGCAAATGATTTGTTTTATCCAGTATACAAAGAGATAATAAATAATAATAATAAATATTTCCAACACTCACACCAATTAGCCTAGCCCCAAAGTAAGCACTGTAAGGCTTGTGTTATGGGATGCTAGGGTAACGGATAGAATACATATACTGTACATATATAAGTATATTTATATAGAAATACATAGGTATCAAACATCCATAACTGGAGTACAAATGCTCGTATTCATCACACAAACATCTGCCCCCACCGGGATTCCAACCCGGGACCTCTCGAGTCGGCGACACCATGAAACCCGGAGTATAAACCACTCAGCCATGGAGGTTGTCTAATATAGATAATCAAAATAAAAATTGTAATTTGTAACACACATTACAATTTTTATTTTAGTTTCATTAATCTCTTTGTGTCATCATCAACAACTCACGGTGGGGCCTTATGTCCTGCTGGAATACCTACACTGCAGCATTCTGGTGTTGTTGGGGCATTATGCTGAGGCAACAACCTAGTTGTCCTTTTTTTTCCAATTCCTGATATTTTTTATTGTTATTTATGTGTATTATGATGTATATACCTACTTGTGAAAAGCCAATAAATAACTTATTTACTTAAGAAATTTTTTATAAGAAAAAGTTTCCGTCTGCTGCCATGTTCACATGGATTTTTTTCTGTTAAAGATTTTCTTTAGATTTAAACATCTAGCAGTTAAATGCTTAAAAAACTAAAAATATAATAATTTACTTTTGTTAATTTCAGGGACTTAGAAAAGAGTTGCCAGGTATACATAACAAAGGAACACACAGACATAATAAATTCCATTGATGGAATGGGCGGCAACACCATGAACTGTGGTGCTCCAGAGATTGTGACGGGAAGTAGAGATGGTAAGGTTATTTATCAATTTTGCATGCTTACAATACTTAAATCTTTTTCGATATTTACATTGTAATTATTTTCAAAATCTTTTAGTCTAAATCTAGTATTAGGAAAAGAAGATACCTCGAATTCCTCAATGCTTCAGAAGCCATGTTAAGCCATTGGTCCCGGCTGCATCTGCAGTTGTTAGCACCTGTACTGGGCCCGCGTGATGAGACTGAGTCATGGCCCAATCTCCCTATTCCATCCATAGGGAAGGCCTGTGCCCGAGCAATGTGGACATTAATAGGCTGATGATGATGACGATTATTATTACCTACTAATTTACTGAACATATTTGATAGAAATGGATCAAATTTCCATTCAGGCACTGTCAAAGTGTGGGATCCGCGGCAGCGAGGCAAACCCGTTGCCAACATGCAGCCAGCTAAAGGGGAGACCAGGCGCGACTGTTGGACGGTGGCGTTCGGGAATTCCTTCAACGACGCGGAGAGGATCATCGTCGCCGGCTACGACAACGGGGACATGAAGATGTTCGATCTGCGCACCATGTCGCTGCGGTGGGAGTGCAACTTGAAGAATGGGGTCAGAATTTTTGGGTTATTTCTTCTTCTGATCCTCTGCTACCGAAAGACTAAAAATCAGGGCCGTGGTAGCATAATTGGTCAATGCATTCGCCGGGTTAGCGAAGGGTGCGGGTTCGAGTCCCGTTTGCTGGCTGGTCCGCGTGGATTTTTTTCTAGTTATATTTTCTTAGATTTAAACCTCAAGCATAAATTATAACTACAATTGTTATCTCTTCTTTCAAATGTTTAATACTTGCAAAAGTATTCATTTGACGTTGTGGGTTACCTACAATGCGAAGATATGGCGCTGCCTTGCAGCTTAAAAATGGCTAGAAGAATTTCGACGCGGCCATCGGGGCCGTGGTAGCATAATTGGTCAATGCATTCGTCGGGTCCGAGTCCGAGTCTGATGCCTGGTCCTCGTGGATTTTTTTCTAATTATATTTTCTTTAGATTTAAACATCAAACAGTTACATGCTTAACAAATTCACTAAAATTTTTCAATTCCTATATTAAATTCAATTCAATCCAGTTCGGTCTGCGTTCGTAGAAGTAAAGCAACTTTCACAGTGGCCAGTTAGAAGATGGGTAACCAAAAATTTTAATCTTGACCTCTTCCGTGCTTCGGGGTTATTATTAAGCATTTTCAGTTTCCACTAATCCGCTTGGGCACTTTGGGCAAATGCCCAGGGCCCCGTGATCGATAGGTGGACACCTCAGATGATAAATACAAAGTCCCTAGTTCTTGTTAGATCACCAAACGGGGGTCATAGGGCCCCTTTAATTACTAATTTGCCTAGGGCCTCCAATAGGTCAAAGACGGCACTGGTGATGGGTCATGGCCTAATCTCCCTACTCTATTCATAGGAAAGGCCTATGCTATCTAGGCACGCCTCTATTCATAGGCACAGCAGTGGGGACAATAATGATGATGAGAGAGCTTAATACTACTCATATCACTCAAATGGCCTGTGTCTTGTGTAAATTGACGTTGTACTTCCCCAATAGGGTATTTCAATCTACCTGAGAAAAATATATAATTGCAATAATTTAGACAAAAAGGAGCCGGAAAATGTTAATTTTAGTGCATAAAATACAAAATGCATTTTAAAATTCAATTCAAAGTTTTGTGTCTTGTGTAAATTGACGTTGTACTTCCCCAATAGGGTATTTCAATCTACCTGAGAAAAATATATAATTGCAATAATTTAGACAAAAAGGAGCAGGAAAATGTTAGTTTTAGTGCATAAAATACAAAATGCATTTTAAAATTCAATTCAAAGTTTTCAGTTTTTTAATCTGTTTTAAACACTGATATTTCGTCACACCGCTAGAATATGCCAAAGAGTCAGCTGTCAATTCGGTACTTTTAATGTTTTCGTAACCAAGGAAATGCATTTATTTACAGTACTTAAGACGTCAAGACCGCAGAGCAATATGGCGTTCACTGCGTTTGTTATGCATTATTTCTTTAAGCATAATCGGTTTTTGTAGTCATTGGGTTGTTAGGTAGGATAATGGTTACGAGCGTGCTGTGGCATCGACCGGAAAAGCACCAGCCACTTGAGAGATAATATAAATGAAACAAGGAAAATTAAGGTCAATATTTGAAGGCCAAAAGACTATTCTTACTCTAAGCTTTTAACGATATAATGGTTTTATTTTTTAATTACCTTACCTATGAAATTTATGCTTATATATTATATTGGCTTACAAAATTATGAGTGTAAGGGACGGCACTTGTTGAGTAATACAATAAAACAATAACTTTAAAATCATTAAAAATATATAACAGGCACACAAAACAAGAAAACACAACAATACAAGTCAAGTCGAACAATAATAAACAAAAATGACAAATCGCCGTTCCCGGAGAATAAAAAGATAACTACAAAAATGTTAGTTTTCAGGAAAATAAAAAACTGTCTTTTATTTCTTCTGAAAACTTCTTTTCCTTAAAAACTGGACGCAGACAGATGATAGTTACCTTTAAGACAAGCTAATTGTGGATACATTTGGAATGTTTTAGTAAAGAACTCATACAATAAGTTAGAAGGGATATTTCGAAAATAAAAAGTTAGTCAAAATTAATCAACATTTAATTTGAATGATGTTGATTATACAAATTAAATGTTGATAATTTTATTCGCATTGAAACGGAGCCAATACCAAATATTGCTCCACTGACATATATTTTTATTCCATGGGATATAAGGATGTAAATAAAAATGATAATACTTCAATGTCATATTATTTTTGTAAATTATGTAAAACTTGTTTTCTTTAAACTACTTTGAATTTGGTTTCGCAATAAATGTAGGTAACTTACTTATATCCACAGTGCAAAGACAAAATCGTTAAACTGCCACTTTGGTCGAAAATCAGCTATTTAAATAATTGTAACGAGCTTCATTCAAGTAATAAATGCAAAAGGGTTTTTACATTTATTTAATGTAATGAAAGAGAAATTCATCGAAATAACTACATAAAATTAATAATTAAACTTTCTTATTCATCCTTACGTCTAATTTCGGATTAAATTAATTAATTAAAATATCTTTGAGTTTTTATTCGCATAAACATAGCTAAAGGTGTCCTAGTCATGGTAACGGCGGGACAGGGGATGTAATGAATCACATGGTACTTCAACATCCTAAGAACTACCACCTACGAAGACTTGGGGTGTATTCGGAAATATACATCAGTATACTGGCCAGTGGTAATGACGTCACGAATCCGACGCCATATTGTACTGGTATGCTACCATATTTTTACCGGGAAAACGAATATGACGTAAGACCGAGCGTGCGTGAGATGCATTCAAATTTTATTTCTATTTTATTTAAAGAACATACCGGCGCATCCGAACAAAAAGAATTCCTTTTAATTGATGAGGTGAATAAAAAAATCTTCTTTGTTCGCACTATTTTTAATATTTCGTCGATTTATGACGTCAGTGCACTGGCCAATATATTTCGGAACAATTCACCAGTATAGCGTCGATTCATGACGTCATTAGCACTAGCCAGTATTCTGGTATATATTACGGAATACACCCTTGAACTCATAATAACCCAACGTTTTCGTTTAACTACGCGGGTAATTAGAAATATGAATGTTAAATTTAAATGCAAGGCACTTAATGATTGATTAAAAATTTGTATATTAGCTCTTTAGAATTTGTAATACCCTATCCGGGCGGTAAAAAGATTCCTTAAAATTAATAGCGTTCTAACTTTTTTTTTTATTCACTTTATTTAAATGGTCTGGGTTATTTGGCTTGTGTTTTAACTTTTCTGTTTTGTTCATTATGCAGGTTTGCTGCGCTGAGTTTGATCGCAAAGACATTCCGATGAATAAATTAGTTGCAACTACACTGGAAGGAAAGTTCCATGTGTTCGATCTGAGGACACAGAATCCAGCTAAAGGTTTTGCCCAGGTAATTTATTTATGAAGCTAGCACACATATACTATAAACGGTTAGGAGGAATAGAGGGGTGTCCCAGACCAGAGTACCTTAGTAAGATGGGAGAAAGTCTCTGAAAAATCGTGATATGCTTGTGGTGAAGCAATAGCCACTAGGCACATGTTGATAGGGGTCAAAATTCACGTCGCCATGATAGAGTACTTGAAGTCATACGTGAAGCAGCAAGTCTTGCAGTGGCTAAAGCCCCAAAAAAGGATTAACCACAAATAAAAAACATATTAACTTTATAAAAGAAGGCTCAACTTTTAATTCGAAAAGCAAGCCTTTCTCAATCGTAAGTCAGTACTTAGGATTGATAAAGGTTTCCATCTGTCAAATGACGCTTGAAAAGTACGGTTTGCAAAAAATCTTGGAACTCTTTTTTAGCACTCAACTAATTCTAGAATAAAAAAACCAAACATTTGTAGACAAACATGACGACGATGACAACTCCGGTAGTTATGCAGAGCTGAGCGGAATTGAAGAGCTAGATTCCGATTAATATTTTTACTCACACAGTCATAAATGTTATTAAAAATCGGTGCTTTTTTTTCTCAATCTTAGTAAATAAGTTTTATCGAAGAAAAACTTTTATTGCTCACTCTACCTATTTTGTTTCAATTGACAGCTTTGACATCACAAAATGGCGCCCAGTCGATCCTATTCTTAGTTGAATCGCATTAAGCCCGTCACAGACGTAGCTATAATATATATTAATATATCGAAATATATATTATATTATAACAAACTACCACAGACGGGAGCTATACTATAATATATATTTTGCCTCACTCGGTCTGCGGTCGTACTGTACCATAATATACCGAAATATATCTGTCGACATATTTTGGTGACGTCATAGAAATATATATTATAGCTGCGTGTGCGGTCACTCGAAAATTTATATTGAAAATATGTTGTAATATGTCTTGCTATGATTCATATTAATATATATTATAGCTACGTCTGTGGCAGGCTTTATACATTATCACTATTGCAGGTGATGGACAGCACCTCTAAAAGCGGCACGATATGGGTCGCCCGCCATTTACCTCAGAACCGGGATATATTTATAACCTGCGCTGGGAACGGGCAAGTCACACTATGGAAATAGTAAGTAAATTCATTCATACATTTTTTGATGAATAGCTGTCACTTTTGTAGCGGAAGTCTCGAAGGGCGTAACAGGTATGGTGGAATAATTGTTTTGAATCGAATGTATTGCAAAATGCTGTATTTCGCAATTCATCATGACAGCGTTTCATGCCTTTCCATTCCATTTCCCGGAAGCAAGGGCCTCACCAAAGGGGGCGGGGGGGAGAATATTCTTTTACTGGAACATTTTTCTTCTACTGGATTTTATATTATTTCCAAACCTATCTCATTATTATCTTAGCTTCTTCCTCTCCTTAATCCTGCTTTCTCTCATGCCTACTCTTTAAACCTTGCATTCTTCCTCTTTCCCCCAAAACTCCCCCCCTCTCGCTCTTTCTTTCCCCTGGCAGTATCCTTAGCAGCCTTGGGCTGAGGGTGGTAGTTTCTTTTACCAATTCTCGTTACTATGACTCATTAAATTTGAAATTGAAACACACACAACAACCAAATTGGAAAAACTTTTAATGTTATAAATAAGGGAAATAAGCCCTCATATAATATTGTTTTTCTCTTTGTAGGCTTTGGGCCACAGCCCGCCCTGCCCTAGTATCTGATTTAATTACACAAACCCTACAGTATTCATTTCGAAGCTGGTGTAATGCGGGTGTTTGTGAAAATTTACGTCACAAGTTGGCGCCACTAAGACGTGAGGTCTTTTGTATGAAGATTTTGGCGCGAACTCCATAGACCAGATCCATAGACTATGAGAACATAATAATGCGATTGACGGATGAGTAGACCTTTCGTCTCAGTACTGCCACCAGCTCGCCTGACATAGTATCGTCGAATGCGACTTATTTCACTTTCGACTACCAAATTGCATGATACTGATTTTCCGTATTTTTGAATCGTTTATACAGTGTTACCAGTTTAATAGAAAATATTTATTTTTATTAATTTCAAGGAAAAAGATAACAAGCAGTCCTTACCGCTGTGAAAAATAAACGTATAATTCTCAATATCTTATTTAATCTTTTGCCTTTTTTGTTAGAAAAGATCAAAACGTCGCTTTACCTGTATTTTAAAAATATTGCGAAAAAATCTTGAAAATATCCGACATAAATTTGCCAATTATTCTACCATTCACCTCTATCATTCGCCAACGCGCATCGTGTGGTCGAGACCGCTCGTTGACATCGAGCGATTCAAAAATACGGAATTTATTATGTCGAATCAAAATTAGTATAAATCGATCTTTCGAAGCCATGCCAGTGATTCAAAAACATAGCTCTTAATGCCCCTCATTTCAGAAAACACTCATTGATACGGTTTTAAGCAATATTTATTGTATTTATTCTTGTTTTAGCGAATACCCCGACCAACGCAGTCGCACAGACGACAAAGGCGCAGCCTGCGGCGTGGCGGGCAAACTGCGTCGCTTACAACGTATGACGATCAGCTCTCAACCGCTCAATGCGATAGATTGGAACCGCGACCATTGCGGCCTAGCCGTTGCTACGGCTTATGATCAATACGTTAGAGTTTTAGTTACAACTAAACTTAACTTGCATTGAACTATACGGAATATTAAGGGGAGCCATTGAGCGTCGCTCGTATGAAATTATGAAAAAACAATGCCATTTTTGGTAACATAACCTGTGGCTAGGGTTACCATATCTCAGGATTTGTCCTGAGATTTCAGGATTTATGGACTCTTCTCAGGATTGCGGCTGGATTTTGCAAATCTCATGAAATCTCAGGTTTTTTTGAATTTCCAATAAAATACAGCTTACGTATTAAAGATCTCTTTAATAAGAAGATAAACAAACTAAAAATTACCTTCTATTGGTAATAATTGCTCAATTAAAATCAGTGCTTTATTATCCAAGTTAATCTTAAATTAATCAGTTTTGTCATACTTAATATGTAAAGATACATTTTTAAGTAAAGTTTTTTCTTTAATTATGGATTCATATAATGCCCCACATTATATAAATTAAATTTAAGAATAGATTTAAAAGTATAAGCAGAGTATAAACGATAATATTACGACTTTTTTTAAATTGTTAAGTACGTTTGAGCGAAAATTCTCAAACTTAAAAAATCTCAGGATTTTTCAATGGAAATCAAGCCTGTTCTCCGGACTTTTGATTTTATCATCTGGTAACCCTACCTGTGGCTATCTAATATATTACAAAAAGGAGTCTCTCATTACAAAATACTAGCAAACCAGTGAACCAAATGTTCACCAAAACCTGATTTAAAAAAAATGTATTTAATTAATTGAGAACTTCGGAAATTTTGTGTGGTTTCGTTTGAAATTCGTGATTTCTCGAAAACCGGAAGTGCTACGTTACTCAAATCCGGTTTGTAGTCTTATCAGACTATTCTTAACTTATAACTTAAACATTCTCTTTATCTATCTCTTACGGTTTGGCCGCTGAAACAGCACCACAGACAGACGGACGGATGGACGGACTTGTCTAATAGATAAGAGATGTTTAAGATCATATTATGAGCGTTGTAAAAAAAAAGGTTCACAAAATTCTTGAAGTTTCGAATCCTATCTAGGCTCTGCACCCCTAGCACAAACCAATATCGAATTCGAATAGTGTGCGAGTACGAAATGTCATTGTCTAATATTGTATGGAAACTGAACAGCAACGCCACAAAGAATATACCAGAACTAAAAATCAGTACACATTTGACAGTGACATTTCGGACTCGCAAACGATTCGAATTCGATATTGGTTCGTGCTAGGGGTACAGTAGCTATACCTAATTTAAGTAATGAAGCAAACTTTTTCAATAATTTGAAAAAGTTTGCGTGAATTTTGGAAATGCGCGCCATTTTCATTAGAAAATGTCGTCACAGTACTGAAGTTAGACAAAGGAATAGATTAAAAGCGCCTCCAATGAGGTTCGTCCGAAAATTAAAAACAACCGTAAAAGATACACACGGCGCCGTGTATGGGAGCGTGCGGTAAAATGTTTTACCGCACGCTCCGTTATATGTCCCGTAATTATGAACTTTCAAACAATGTATACAACCTCCGTAAATGCATTTTTTGTTGAAAAGCCGTTATTGATCGTTTTATCGTTGTTTTTTTTTTTGTTCATTTTAAGTCATCTTGCTCTTCAGCATAGGGTCCAACGCCTTTCAAATTCTCCTATATATTCCAAGCACGGAGAGTACTTGGATAACAAAAGCAGCTACTCTAAAGCTAGCAGCGAAATGTATCAGTAAGTGACATTTCGGACTCGCAAACGATTCGAATTCGATATTGGTTCTTGCTAAGGGTTCATACTGTAGTCACAAGACTGGTCAGATAAGTATTTGGTTCAGTAAATATTTATTTATAATAAATGAGGTTTATGAAGCAGACATTTTTTGTTGTAAGCATGCATTTTATTATATGTATTTATTTAATTTTCTTAAGCGTGCATTACTAAGAAAATCTGTATGTAATATTTGATTTTGATGGTGCAATAAAATTTCGTTAATTTATCCAGTCTATTTACTTTTCCTTGCTCTGTTTCAATGACCTCCGTGGCCGAGTGGGTTTATACGCCGGATTTCATCGCATCGCCTACTCAGAGGTCCCAGGTTCTAATCCTGGTGGGTGCAAATGTTAGTATGATAAATACGGGTATATTGGTACCTTAATCATGGATGTTTATATATATATTTAAATAAATATATATGTAACCGTAATATGTATTGTATCCATTACTTTGGGGCTAGTCTTATTGGTGTGAGTGTGGGAAATAATTATTTAATAATTAATACTAGCAAACCAGTGAACCAAATGTTCACAAAAGAAAAAATGTATTTAGTTAATTGAGAACTTCGGAGATTTTGTGTGGTTTCGTTTGAAATAGAAATCACGTGATTTCTCGAAAACCGGAAGTGCTACGTTACTCAAATCCGGTTTGTAGTCTTATCAGACTATTCTTAACTTATAACTTAAACATTCTCTTTATCTATCTCTTACGGTTTGGCCGCTGAAACAGCACCACGGACGGACGGACGGACTTGTCTATTAGATAAGAGATTTGAAGTGAAAACTTCTATAATACAAAAGTAAAGTATAGTAGTTGAAAAAGTATTCATTTAACATTGTGGGTTACCTACAATGCGAAGAGATGGCGCTGCCTTGCAGCTTAAGGCTAGGAAAATTTCGACGCGGCTAATAGGGCCGTGGTAGCATAATGGTCAGTGCATTCGCCCGGATAGCGAAGGATGCGGGTTCGAGTCCCGTCCGCTGCCTGGTCCGCGTGGATTTTTTTCTAATAAACTTTTCTTTAGATTTAAACATCTAGCAGTTAAATGCTTAAAAAATAAATAAAATCATTCTATAGTACCGTTGTGACTTGATTAGATGAAACGGAATTTGAGTATTTGACACAAGATAGGTATCCGTAAATTTATCACTTGCTACAAGAGCCAGACAGCCGAATGGTAGCGGTCTTGGGGTCGACACCAACTGATCTGTGGTTCAATCCTGAGCTCGGTGTTTTCTTTTATTGTTTTTTTTCCTACTATTAATCTATTATTTATTTTTCAAAACAATTTAAGTATGAAGTATTTAAATTTGACCTAGAGTTAGATTTTAACACAGATTTCACATTTTTGTAGGTTTCACTTCTATCGCATGTGAACAACACATGTCCGTTTTTTTCTACAACTATATACAGGCAGTCCTCGACTTACGTCGTTTCGATTTACGTCGTTTCAAGTTACGTCAAACAATGTTTTGACACTATTCCTCAAGCATACGCCAATTGTTTCGATTTCCGGCATAGGAGAATTCACTTGTAGCAGGTCAATATCCGTGGGGCCGGCGTCCGTGGGCATGTCTCGACTTACGTCATTTCGATTTACGTCGCGTATTTCAAGAACCTAACATGCCGTAAGTACGAGGACTGCCTGTAATGCAAATACATAGGTTTAAGTTGAATAAAACATCAAGTCAATTTTCTAACTCAAAAGAGCAATTTATTATCCTAGCACTTAGAAATAAAAATTAAGGCTAGCATTCAGTTCTTATTACCACTAATAATGTTAGAACAAGAAGAATGTGTCACGCGGCAGTTGTGATATCCTGAATCTTGGGAAAATGCGACGTGCATATCAAAGTAAGCATAACTCGATTTTGTATCAATATTCGTTAAATGCGCTTGTATCACGTTGCAATAAGAGCGTTTTTCGTACTGCAAACATATATTTTTATATCGTTTACGACTCGTTGAAAGCGCTCGTATTGCGTTGCAATTAAGAGTTATTTTCGTACTGCAAACGTATTCGCCGAGTTTCACAACTGCAACGTGACATACAGAACAGTCGGCGTAAGCATTCTACACGCGTCAACGTAACGGACTCGCCCTAATGAAAAATAAATCTAATTATATCGAAACATGTATGTATTTAGTGCAAAGTAATTTTTACAACACGTTCACACCACATTTAGGCTGCGTTCACGAAACCACTGGGATAAGCAGCTAAAGTTCGCTAGGAAATAAAATAAATAATTATGCTTTATTTCATTGGGTCGATATTGAATTTGGTATCAATTTAACTTTTAAGTTTAAAGTTTGTTACTTTTCATATAATATTATCTTTTTAAGATTATAAACTAAACACAGCTTAGTTACCTGTCAAAGTTATTGCGCAAACGCAGGTTAAAGTAGACTTTTTACTGTCACGTGGGCGTGCCCGTCCAACTCAACACTAACAGGCATATGAAATACCTAATGTGATATAACCACTTACTTAAACACTCTTTCAAATAAGCTTTTTACATTTTTACCAAAAATTCTAGCCTTAAACAATCGTAATGCTATGTGCAATTAGCATTTTCGGTCATACTGAATGCCTTATCCACGGTCAAAGATAGCCTTACCAGAGATCACTTAAAGACGATAGCTTATTAAGAACCATTAAAACTTTGAAAAAGGATAAGGTATTGAGAATGGCCTTTGATAAAGTAAAGTTTGTAAAGACAACGGTTTCACAATATCTGTATAGCCTAAAAATATCTGTATGTCGTCTCGAAGGCATCCATTATACGTGTCGTCCACTAACTAGTGAAATTGTACAAAAACTAAACGCTCCATACTCCGTACGTACAAGCTAACAATAATGTCTACGATAACCAACTTACATTATTTATTTATACAATGCCTCGCCAGTATATAGGCTCGACTGCAGATTGGACAATCCTCATCATTAGAACGGGGTATTAAAGGAAGGAATCGCAAGTGACGACGCCATTTTTGATTCGTTTCTTTAATAGTAGGGGAGCCCTAGTGGGGATTATTGGATTTACTCGAGCGCGGCAGATTAACATATGGAAGGCAACCTTGCCCCTTGTGAATTCCTTTCAACGTGCAGCAAAAAAATTCGTACGGCCACCTCCACACCATGCAAACCAGCAGATCGCTATTTTTTCCATCCTCAAATATGTTACGTGAATCCCTATTCAAAAGACTGACGATTTAGACGCGAGAAATCTCGTAGCCGTTTGTTGAAATTTTGTTTTTGCTGCCATAGATGTTCGTTACTACATAGAGGACTCAGATATGGTGGGAGTCCTTCACAAGAGGCAAGGTTGCCCCCCATATATTAATATACCGCGCTTGAGTAAATCCAAAAATCCCCGCTCTGGCTCTCCGACTATAATGACCCGAGTTATATCAAATTGTACAATCTGCCTCAGTGGTGTTTGTTACGATAAGCTCCTCTGAGATCGACAGCTGAGTTAACATTAATCACTCTCCGAGGCTCAAGTGACTAACTTCATCGCTGCAGTTACTTCTATAGATGAAGAATCATCCTGGCTCGAAGGACCAAGGTTTGATTTCAAAAGTATTTCAGCTATCTTAAGCGGTAAAAAATACAGTGATGACTTCGCAAACTATTACAGCGTCACTGGGTTTGGGGACGGCGAGATCCTAAGGGGACCTCAAGCCGAGAATTGGCGAGTGCCTCTAGAGTTATTCCAGGCGGATGGCATCTCCCCACGGGGGGAGTCTCCTCCCCGTCTGGAGCCTCCAGACCACGAGCACCTGAGGGGGTCGGCTCAACTAGAGGGCGTCTCAGAGACTCGGACCACGGCTTTAGTTAGCCGTTGTCGTGGGGGGCGGTCGAAAACTATAGCAGTTACTACAGCAATGAAGTTAGCCAGTTGACACCCAGGACTTACATCTACTAGGAGTCGTTCGCTACATGGAATCCGTGCAAAACTTCAGATTGTGAATTTTTGACTTTCTGGGAGCAAACTTATTTAACTGAAATTTTAACGAGAAGCGAGAATACACTTTTGGTGCGATAATGAACCGTATTGCTGCAAACATAAGATAATATCTTGTTACTAATCAGCTTTCTTTCAGGATACGGTGGTTTCTCAACTTGTAACCGAAAAAAAGGGATAAATTGACAGGAAAACGTCACTACTCCCAAAACATTATTAAGAACGAAAATTGAGTGGTTTGCAGGCTTAAAATACATGGCATATTGTAGTATCACGCGAGGCGAGAGTCGCGACGTATATTTACCGAGACTTTAAGCGTACATTAACTAACATAAACGTTTACAAATCGTCTGTCTGTGCATCCCTCAACATAGTTCCGCCTTATACGAGAAAAATGTTTTCAAATCATCCAATAGAAATAGCACAAAATAAGTTAAAAGCCAAATCAGCGTTTGCTATCACCCGATACAAGCCGACGCTTACACAGATTCAATAAGATCTTGCTGTAATATACGTAAGGTTGAAATTGTCGTGGCAATGTTAACGTGTGTTAAATCTTCGGCCAAAAATATTTTCACACCTTTAAATGTACATCGGCCAGTTGTATAGCTGTAAACTTATTTTTGTGGTACTACTGTAATCTTCACAAATAACTTATTATTGTAAAAAAGTTGTTCAAATTATTAAAAAAAAAATGGCTGAACTATGTTGAAGTTGAAGATATTACTTTATTAACATACAAAATATAGTAATAGCAAGCTAGAAATGAGCTAGCAGAACATATTATTATTTATCTTTATTAAAACAATGTCACTGCTATTTAACTTTGTATTAAAAAATCACCGTTTAACACGCGTTAACGGACACACAGACATTAAACAAAACATACCCCATCATAAATCCATATACTCAAGCATACCACACGTTACATAAATTACTTAACACTACAAACGTGTTCGTATTTACAAATCATTATCTTTACGATTATTTCATTATAATTATATTAATGTCCGCTTCAATAAATCAACCTTTTATAATGTGTCATTGCATCATATTTCACATCTGTTAAAAACGAACTCAAAACATTTTAATAGTGAAAGATGCTCAAATATTATTTGTGAAGTAACTACGATACGAATAACACGGACAAACACTATGTTGAACGAGCAAAATTATATTCCCCGATTTCATTCTCAAATTACAAATCAGAAATCAACACAGCAATGTACAAAGCGTTAAATAGATTTCTTTTTTTTTTGTCATTATAATTTCCTTTTTTTAAATTTAACACTTATCCGATGAATTTTGCTGTGTCTTCGACGAATCGCCACACGCAGATTGTTATAAAAATTATGGATTAAAACCTGATAAATAATTATCTAAATTAGAATGTCCATAAATAACATTTTTACAACCAGATTTAGATCCTAAATGAAATAAAAATGTCTCATTTCTATCACAAACTTGAAATTCAATTTCGTCTAAATAAAATGACCTATTACACTGAAAATAAGAGTCAAATTTCAAAAATCTTTTATCCTTATCAAAACAGTTTTACATTTTATTTGAAGGTCCTCAGTGAATTACGCATTTTCTACAAAGGAAAACTTGTCTGTCTTGTTGTTTTAACATTTTTAAGCGATTAGACAGGCTAGTGGGTCAGAAATCATAGGAAAAGGTACCATAAAGTCATTTCTTTAGTATTACAAGCGTGTGTAGATTCGTCCAAGTGCCGCGTTGAATAAATACCTATCCCCCGTGAATCGGGGTCGTGCTATAAACTTACATTACCATACAGACACTTTTAGCCGCACTCGGAAATGTCAATTAAATTCAATCCTTCCTAAGTCGAGTGTTGCCTTATTCTCGCCAATAGGGATGATGACGGGGTACAGTAAACGAAATTCTATTTAGTCCGTCAGTTAGATGATGAAAAAATAATGGACACGTATTTTTTCTTTGGGCAATCAACCAAAATATGACAAAGTTATAGCGCGTCAAAGTTTGGGAGTAGGGGCTCGTGACGTCACGTTTGAGTACACTTATTAGTGAAAATTCACTCAAAAAAATTAGTCATCATCCCTATTGCGAAGAAAGTGGAGGCATCAACTTTAATCCAACTTAATTTACGTCTCTGAGTGCGACCGTGTAACTAGTAATACGATATAAAATATGCTATACATAAGTCGCGTCGTACTAATTCATATTATAAACCACTTCCATTTCCGATATTCAATCAATCTATATGAAACAAAGCCGCGTTTTACATTTCGCACAAAAAGTTTACTTACACAAAACATTTCCATTAACGCTAACGAAATCTCTATTCTAGTTTTTCTTATAAAAAACAACACTAAGAGAACAATTTACAATATCCCGATGATGAATGTATGTATGTATGTTTGTATGACACCAACTGGCACCTAAACGATTCGAGAGGTTTCATCTGAATACTATGAAACACTCGTCAGAGAGACTGTCTTTGGTCAAAATATCGGGTGAGGAAGAACCATAGACAAGTACAGCGAAGGTTCGGTGAAAACTCAGAATTGCATTATTTACAAATAATAATATGTTATAGAACTGCGCAGCAACTATCTTTAAGAGAATTTCGTCACAAATAAGGACTATGTCCAAAAAAGGTCGTCCTTTTCAAACCCATCACTGTATTGCCACTACAAAAATCAATGCTGAAAGACTCGTCTTCAGTTACATAAAACTCCCCGCATCAAAGTACCAAATAAATCGAAATTAGCGTTGGCCAATTCGCAGTATCGACATTATCGATAAAGATGTCTTGCAATAACACTATCATCGATAACGATATCTCAACACTATTGATAAGTTTAGCAACACTAGTACAGTCACTCGCTAGTCTTCTAACGTCCAATCCTGGGTATTGTGTAATCTGTAATATTGGCATTTCATTACGCTATTCGTGTTTGCTATTTGTAAACTCGACACTATCGATAAGTTTAGCAACACTAGTGCAGTCACTCGCTAGTCTTCTAACGTCCAATCCTGGGTATTGTGTAATCTGTAATATTGGCATTTCATTCCGCTATTCGTGTTTGCTATTTGTAAACTCGACATTATCGATAAAGATGTCTCGTAACACTATCATCGATAACGATATCTCGACACTATCGATAAGTTTAGCAACACTAGTACAGTCACTCGCTAGTCTTCTAACGTCCAATCCTGGGTATTGTGTAATCTGTAATATTGGCATTTCGTTACGCTATTCCTATTTGTAAACTTGAAATCAGTCTGTCCCTTTCATTCCTTTTAAAGCGTGACAAGGAAAGAAAAGTGGCATGTTTACAAATACCAAACACGAACAGTTAGATGAAGTACCAGCATCATACTAGGGGCTGTTCAAGTATTACGTAAGCACTATAGGGGGGCAGGGGGGGTCTCCGCTTTGCTTATTTTTGATGACTTGGGGGGGTGGGGGGTAGAGATGAGAGAGAGAAGTGATTACGTCAGCATCATCGATTAAGCCTTTTTAAGTACTGCTGCTCATGAAGCTCATGAAAGCTCATGAATCAATAAAAAAAACAGAATACATTAAAGGAAAAATGCATATAGGTACCAATGTTTACGTAAGGTGTTGTCCATTAATCCACGTGAGGCTCGAAAGGAGGGGGGGTCCATAAAAAAACACGAAATATCACAAGGGGGGATGGTGGGTGTAGTAATATATCACGTGTATTTACGTGGTCCGAGGATACTGTACATTAAATAATGTTCATGTATTAGTACAAAAAGTTTTTCAGTTTCTTTCATTATATTGATGTCAGTCAAAAACAACCTTTCTGTCTACCTCTAAAAGTTTAAAAAAATAAGATTCTTTGTAGGTACTAAAAATACACGTGATATGGGGTGGGGGGTGGCGGGCTACACTTTAACCTCACCATGTATCACCAAGGGGGAGGGGGGGTTAAAAAATGCCAAAAAAACATCACGTGATTAATGGACGGCCCCTAAGGATGGGGGGAGGGGTAAGAGCTTTGCTTCCTTTTGCTGACGAGGGGGAGGAGGGGGTAAATGATTGTAATAAATCTGCTTACGTAATACTTGAACGGCTCCCTAGCACTTCACATGGCTAATTGCTATTTATACATTTGACAGCATCCTATCCTTAATGCTGGAGTTTTAGAAGAGAGTGCTATCAAGATTACAAATAGCAAATATGTATAGCTACAATGCGGCCAATGAAAGAATGCCTTTCTGACAGGTCGTGCTCCTTATGGCGACAGAATTAGGGTTTATATTCGGAGCTCTTTTTTTGTAGATCGAAAATGTACTTTATTCTGGTCGCCATAAGGAACTGACACGACCTGTAATGACGGAACTTGGCTATTCGTGTTTGCTATTTGTAAATTTGGCATCAGTCTACCCTTTTCATTCCTTATAAGGCACGACAAAGACAGACTATTGTCAAGTTTACAAATATAGCCAATTGAAGCGCCGACACTAATAAATTCGACAATACTCTGTCTTTATCATGCCTTATAAGGAATGAAAAGGAAAGATTTATGTCAAATTTACAAATAGCAAATACGAATAGCCAAGCGAAGTGCCGGCATAAAGATTGCATTTTCTCGCTGGCCAAACATTAGCCAAGTGCTAGCTTAATGTTACTGAGGAGTAAAAATGTTTTGTGTATATAAAAGTGTTGTCGCGATGTCGGTTCGTGTCGTTGGCGTATGGAGGCGAGTGGCGTGAGATTCGTCGGTGTCGGGGCGAGGGGGGGGATGGCAGAGCGACGGCGGTGCATCAGCCGTTACTGGCCAAAACGAGGCACGTCTGTGTACCTGGTCAAATAAAAAAAACATAGCTTTTAAGTGTATTATAAGTATTCAGAAACGGCAAATAGGTTTAGCAGCCATATTGAGAAACGTCAAATTAATTTAAAGTTTCATTCGGAGACTTATTATTTCATTCTATTGTGCTCGCAATGAAAATGACGACATCAACTTAAGTTTAAGAGAGGTAGGGCATAGCGGAATTCCCGCTTGAATAGGGTATTTGACAAGTTTTAGAAAACGATATCACGTTATTTACTAATATTTATAGAGTCCATAAAAACGGATATTCATCATTATGTTGTGTATTTCGGTAAAAAAACCAAATCAAAAACTCTATTTTCAAGTTGCCGCGAAAGACGTATCTCTGGACAATATGGCGTCTCACTGGTGTGTGACGTCACACGACTATTATTAAAACGTCAAACCATACAATCAAATGTCACTTTAACCGGAAGTTACTTGCGTGTGACGTCAATTTAGGCTCCACCAATCCCAAGCGTTTTGGGTCACGTGACAATAGACAAGAAAACTATTTACTTTATCGTGGCTTTTTAGAATAAATTATTTATAAATTTTATGTAAAAATAGTAAAAACTCCTGCCAATATTCAATCTAAATACAGATGCTAACAATTGGCACTTTATTTTTAATACTGTCAAATACCCTATTGGAGCGCCCGTCTGGGGAAGTTACCTCCACCTTACAGAGCACAGTGAAATAACACTACCTCTTGGTGTGGGGTAGAGTCAGGGTAGGCAACAACGTGAGTGATATTTTTGGTATCGCAAGCGTCTAGGAGGAGCTCGATGGTGGTTAGCCGGTTCGGCTGCAATCGTTGAAGTTAAGCAACTTTCGCAATGGTCGGTCATTGGATGGGTGACCAAAAATGATCTATCTCGAGTTCCTCCGTGCTTTGGAAGGCACGTTAAGCCGTTGGTCCCGGCTGCATCTGCAGTCGTTAGCACCCGCCAATTCGCACTTGGCCCGGGTGGTGGGTCATGGACCAATCTCCCTATTCCATCCATGGGGAAGGCCTGTCCCCCAACAGTAGAGACATTAATGTGTGGCCGCTTACTAGTTTACCTCCTTTTTAACATAAAAAAGTTAATTGAATCCTTTATGACGGTTATACTCTATACACAGATCTAGAAGGTGAAACAGGATTGGAAAGATGCTGGATTTGATGAGCCCGTTGAAGTGCCTATCATTGTGTAGATATTTGAGTTAAGTCTTTACCCGGATATGAACATCAAGGCTCATAAGAAGAATCAAAAAAGCTATGAAAATAAAATAAAGAAGATTTTTTTCCTTGGTATCAGGCTATTTCCCATTTAGATAAATTAGCAATAGACTAAAAATGTATTATCTCTCACTTCTCTGTGCTTAGGAAGGTACGTTAAGCCGTTGGTCCCGGCTGCATCTGCAGTCGTTAGCCCCCATCAATGCGCACTTTCTTGCGGGTGCTTCAGCAGTGGGGACAGTATTCAATAGGCTTATTATAATATATTTTTTAAACATTCAAACGCCAGATGTTAAAACGTAGAGAACATTTTAAGAGAAAAAATATTCACGCGGACCAGGCAGCAGACAGGACTCGAACCGGAACTGCGTAGATTTTTTTAAACTACAATTTTTTAAGGTATTTTGTTTGAGATTGGTGCCGATTCTGGCACAATTCTCTAAACTTAAAACTAAATTTAAAATCAGTCTATCCTTTTCTTTCTGTATAGAGAATGACAAGGAATACACTATTGTCAAATTTAAGTTAAGGTTTAGAGAATCATGCCAGAATTGACACCTACTATCCGAAAAGATGGTGCTGCATCGAAGCCTATAAAATACTAGAAGAAATTCGACACGGCCATTACTGTTGCGGTAGAGAGAGAGAGAGCGAGAACCATTTTAGGATAATGGTCAGCGCATTCGCCCGGGTAGCGAAAGATTTGAGTTCCGTCTGCTGCCTAGTGCGCGTGGATTTATTTCAGTTAAATTTTCTTTAGATTTAACGATCCATCAGCTAAATAAACAAGGAAAAGCTGTCCTAAAATCAGGCTTGGCCGTTAACATAACATAATATACATACCCGACACATCAGTCCAGGTTGTCCTGGAAGATGAGTCGCACGTATCCCGGGGAGCCCTCGAGCGGCGCGGCGCAGAAGGGGCAGATGGCGTGGAACCCGTTAGTGCCGTGGGGGATGTCTACGCCCGCCCAGTATCTGCAGATACACGTTCATCAATCAATCAGTCAATATCTCTGATTTTGATTTTTTGACGTGACAACGGCGGCGTTACCTCGCTCTGAGCCGTTCCATTTAAGGCTTGAAGTGCAAGCGAGAGCGCGCAACAAGCGACAAAGAGGCACAATCGGCCTCTGCGTTCGATATCTGTCTCTCCCCTACTTGAGTGAGCGATGCGTCCGCGTGGACAGCTGCTATACAATAATACATTTACCTGTTTTCGTCAAGTATGAAGTGTAGTGAAAAGTGCACATTCATACTTGTAAAAACTATCTACACTGTAAGAAAAAGTTGTCACATTCAACTATTGTCAGTAAACCGACTTTACATATAACAATTTTTTTTGTCATATGGATTGAATTAATCTACCAACACTCACACCAAATAGCCTAGCCCCAAAGTAAGCACTGTAAGACATGTGTTATGCGATACTAGGGTAACGGATAGAATACGTATACTGATACATATATGAAAATACATATTAAACATCCATGACTGGAGTAGAAATGCTCGTATTCATCACACAAACATCTGCCCACACCGGGATTCGAACCAAAGACCTTTCGAGTAGACGACGCCTTGAAACCCGGCGTACAAACTACTCAACCAAAGAGGTCGTAATAATAATAATAATTATTTCTTTCAGATTTAATTATATTACATTAATTCAATCCATATGACAAAAAAAATGTTATCTGTACCCCTAGCACGAACTAATATCGAATTCGAATCATTTGCGAGTCCGAAGTGTCATTGTCAAATGTGTACTGATTTTTAGTTCTCGTTACGTACTTTGTGCCGCTGCTGTTCAAGTTTCCATACAAAATTTGACATTGTCATTTCATTTCGGTTTGCAAACTATTCTAATTCGATAATGGTTCGTTCTAGGGGTACTGTAAAGTCGGTTTACTGACGATAGTTAACGTGACAACGTTTTTTTACAATGTACATAGTTTTTACAAGTATGAATGTGCACTTTTCACTGCACTTCATACTTGACGAAAACAGGTAAATGTATTACTGTATAGCAGCTGTCCACGCGAACGCATCGCTCACTCAAGTAGGTGAAAGACAGATGTCTAATGCTGCCGAACGCGGAGGCCGATTGTGCCTCTTTGTCACTCGTTGCGCGCTCTCGCTTGCACTTGAAGCCTTAAATGGAACGGCTTAGAACGAGGTAACGCCGCATGATTCATGTTTTTTCGTGCGTGCAGCCGGCTCCATCGAATTATAAGACATTGTCACGTCAAAAAATCAAAATCATTCAAAATTAAGTCAAATTGATAATTAATATTGAAATATAAAACTCAAAAGGTAATTCGCAATGAGGATCCGTAACGATTTAAGTTGAGAATGCAGATTAATAGAGCTAGGGATTCCAAAAATTACAATAGTTAAATTTATGTCCTACGTCAAATGTTGATGGAAGTTATGATCCAAATTACTAAGCGAATTTTCAGCTGGCCGCGTGGCGACTGTGACGTCACAGAGCTTTAGCTCTTGGGCGCGAGCGTGCGTAGAGACGCTACTGAAGGTCGACCGGAGTGAACCACGATCGAGCTCTATGAAACGACGCGTGCCCGCCTCGCTGTATACTCACTTGACGGTCCGCTCGGACGCCATGTGTCCGCAGGGGTTGAAGGCGTAGGTGGGTGGGCCGGCGTCCACATAGAAGGCGGGCTCGATGCCCATACACACGCGCACCACGGGCCCGGGCCCGGGCCCCACATGGGGCGTACACCGTAGACGCGTGCCCGCCTCGCTGTATACTCACTTGACGGTCCGCTCGGACGCCATGTGTCCGCAGGGGTTGAAGGCGTAGGTGGGTGGGCCGGCGTCCACATAGAAGGCGGGCTCGATGCCCATACACACGCGCACCACGGGCCCGGCCGTCAGGCACATGGGGCAGCGACGAGTGCCCGCCTCGCTGCCCTCCGCGCCCCACGAGTGTTCGCCTGGAGAACGTTCAAAAAACAATAAATAAATAAATATTCCCGACCCTCTCTAGCCTTAGCCTAGCACCAGTGATCACTGTGAGGCTTGTGTTATAGGATACTAAGGCAACGGATAGAATAACTATATTGTACATTTATAAGTATACTTATATGGAAATACATATTTAACATCCATGACTGGAGTACAAATGCTTGTATTCATCACACAAACATCTGCCCCCACCGGGATTCGAACCCGACCTGTAGAGTCGGCTGCACCATGAAACCCGACGTTTAAACCACTCGGACACGGAGGTCGATTAATAATGCTTTATTGACATAATGGTGTCGATTCTGGCATGATTCTCTAAACCTAAACTTAAATTTGACAACAGTGTCCTTGTCATTCTCTATACAGAATGAAAGGAGAGACTGATGTTAAATTTAGTTTTAAGTTATGAGTATCATGCCAGAATCGGCACCTATACATAATTATAATTTTATTTTTGAAGCATGTAACTGCTCGATGTTTAAATGTAAAGAATATATTACTAGAAAAAAAATTCACACGGACCAGACAGCAGACAGGACTCGAACCCGCACCCTTCGCTATCCGGGCGTTTGATACAAATAAAAACCACAAATTACTGAAAATTTACTATTTATTACAGTAAATTTTCAAAACTCCTTCCTCCAACTTGAATACACAATTGACAATGCCTTAAAAAAATATTTTTTAATTGTCTGAAGCTACTTGAATATTCTTGCTTTATTTTTCTTTCCGCTTCTGTAAGTTTTTGTCTCAATTGTTGTTCGCATTTTAAATCTTAGTGGTGAAACCGAAAAAAGATGTTTGTAAAATTACACATGCTTAAGTTATTTTACAGGAATTTCAATTAAATTTAATTTGAAATTACATTTTTAAGTTAAATTTACCATAACAATGATAAAAAGTAGATAAAATATTTTTTAATGCTTTAATCATGTTTCAATGATTTTTAGCCTATCCACCTTCAAAAGTCAATCACAACAAAAATAGGCTGATTAAGTACTTTTTTTTATGATTTTTGGTAGTTTAGAAGCATGCGGAGTTTTCGAGTTTTAGCGAGAACCTATGGAAACTCCTTTTTGTACTTCTAAATTGAAGTTGAATGTTTGAGTAAATCCTGCTAAAAACTAAAGTTCCAACCTTTAAGCCTTTTTTGAGTAACTAAGTAATTGCAGGAAGCTGAGTTATTTTTTTATTAAAACAACATTCAAGACAATTATGTCACAAAAAAAAGACTGCAAAATACCTAACTCGAAAACTAAGAAAAATCGCGGAACATACATGGGGTATTTTTGGATACCCCCAGGTGCGAGGAATGTAAAAAAAATTGTTGACGTCACTAGTTGGACAACCCTGTGCAAATGCTCATATTCATCATAGTAACTTTTGCCCCACCAAGAGATAGTAGACGTGTAACCCAAGCCATGAGAGTGGGGATTATGAGTAATATGATATGAGTCATGTATGCCCTTACCTTACATTGGCGAACCTAACATGCAACCCAAGAAGGTGGTGAAGAGCTCACACGAATGATCTCGTGAGAGTGGGGGATTATGAGTAATATGATATGAGTCATGTATGCCCTTACCTTACATTGGCGAACCTAACATGCAACCCAAGAAGGTGGTGAAGAGCTCACGCGAATGACGTCATGAGAGTAAGGGATTATGACTAATATGATATGAGTCATGTATGCCCTAACCTTACATTGCCACATCTAACATGCAACCCAAGAAGGTGGTGAAGAGCTCACACGAATGACGTCATGAGAGCGGGGGATTATGAGTAATATGATATGAGTCATGTATGTCCTTACCTTACATTGCCGAACCTAACATGCAACCCAAGAAGGTGGTGGAGAGCTCACACGAATGACGTCATGAGAGTGGGGGATTATGAGTAATATGATGAGTCATGTATGTACCTTACATTGCCGAACCTAACATGCAACCCAAGAAGGTGGTGGAGAGCTCACACGAATGACGTCATGAGAGTGGGGGATTATGAGTAATATGATGAGTCATGTATGTACCTTACATTGCCGAACCTAACATGCAACCCAAGAAGGTGGTGGAGAGCTCACACGAATGACGTCATGAGAGTGGGGGATTATGAGTAATATGATGAGTCATGTATGTACCTTACATTGCCGAACCTAACATGCAACCCAAGAAGGTGGTGGAGAGCTCACACGAATGACGTCATGAGAGTGGAGGATTATGAGTAATATGATGAGTCATGTATGTACCTTACATTGCCGAACCTAACATGCAACCCAAGAAGGTGGTGGAGAGCTGACACGAATGATCTCCCACTCTTATGACGTCATCGTCATAAGAGTGGGGGATTATGAATAATATGATATGAGTCAAGTATGCCTTTACCTTACATTACCGAATCTAACATGCAACCCAAGAAGGCATGAATGCGTCTCATTAGTGTATGACGTGACATGACCGTCATTAAAACGTTTTTTATTCGTGCGGTGACGGAGAAAGAATACCACTCACCGCCCCTTCACTTCCCGCGGGTGTCGTAAGAAGCGACTGAGGGATATCAGAGCTTCCATCTGCTCTCCTGGTGGTAGGGTGCCTAACACCCGCCTGGTTTGTTACCACCGTACGCATGGTGAAAAACCCGTGAAGTGCTTCACGCGCGTTTCGGGATCAGCCAGCGTACAACCAGAGCTCGAGTGGAGATTGCCGCGACAGATTCGGTCCAGTGGAGGCATCCGTCGAACCGATGCCGGGAGGACTGCATCGACCCACCGGCCAGGGAGACCCGTAGAAACGGCTGTCCCGCTGGCCGCCCGTGGCACAGTACAGGGGCCCGAGCGTTCCTAACCAGTTCGCGAGGCTGCCCCATCATGTCACGCATAATCTCGGGGTGGACCGTCGTGCCGGTTGGTGACCGGGGCGTGGGGTCCCGGCGGCCACTCCCGGGGGGGTGCGGGGGCCCTTCCGTCCGTTGGGTCGGCGTATCTCTTTCGCAGGCAGTTACTCGGGAAAACGTGCCTCCATATATTTGCCTGTCTTTGTCGCGACTAACTCCACTCGATTCACGTCTCTCAACTTTTTTCTCATGATGGCAGCCCGTAAAATAAAGTTTGGTTGTACAGCGGTGCACACCCCCACGCCTTCCGCGCTGTTTGAGGTTGAGTTCTGTAATATACGCGGACTCCACTCTAACCTCAATGCTGTCCACCACCATCTTGAGACAGCACGGCCAGCACTATTGTTTCTCACGGAGACACAAATACTTCCGCCCGCTGACACAGGCTACCTTAAATATCCCGGCTACGCGCTTGAAGAATCCTTCAAAGCAAAAGCCGGCGTATGCCTGTATGTTCGGGCGGATGTTCATTGTCGCCGTTTGAGCTGCCTGGAAGACCCCTCCTTTTCCATGTTGGCGGTACATGTAGACTCTGGTCCTTTGGCCAGAGTCTACGTGTGCTTCTACAGATCTCACACCGGCGACGCTGAGACAACTCGACTGTTTGACCACCTCAGTAGGGTAGCAGATGATGCCCAGGCGCAATTTCCCAACGCAGAACTGGTGTTTTTGGGAGACTTTAACGCCCACCACGGTTTGTGGCTTGGCTCTTCCAAAACTGACCATGCAGGGATCTCTGCCCACGCATTCGCTCTCACGCACGACCTGACACAGCTGGTTGATCAGCCCACCAGGATCCCAGATATAGCAAGTCAAGCGCCTTCTTTACTAGACCTTCTGCTTACGACCCATCCGCAGGAGTATCAGATTGTGGTTCGAGCCCCACTGGGTTCATCAGACCATTGCCTGATATCTGTCAAGGTGCCACAGGCCAAAACCCCTCGACCATTGGTGGTCAAACGCAGGGTCTGGCACTATGGGTCGGCAGATTGTGATGGTATGCGCGATTACTTTGCGTCTGTCCCTTGGAAGCAGCGCTGCTTCAATGAAAAGGACCTATTATCCAGTGCCGTTGCCATTACTGAGGAGATCGTAATGGGAATGGAGTATTACATTCCACATTCTGATCTCATCAGTAAGGGCACACGTAACCGCTGGTTCAATCGCGATTGTGCCGATGCTGTTTCTCGTAAGCAGGCGGCATATCGCGCTTGGATCAGAGGCCGCGCTCTTAAGGATCCCGGGGTTAACTCATTGAAAGCTGCCTATAATAGTGCTTCCAAGTCTTGTAAGAAGGCTTACATCAGAGCGGATCAGACGTACTGGCCACGAATTGTTAACGCACCCTACGGGCTCCCGTAGTTTTTGGCGTTTGGCTAAGGCCGTGCAACACAACTTTTGCCAGCCCTCGCTGCCACCTCTGCGATGTCCAGATGGGTCACTAGCTCATGAGCCGCAAGAGAAAGCCGATTTGTTGGCAAAGCTCTTTGCGGCTAACTCCCGAATCAGTGATTGCAATGCACTGCCACCTACACTACCTCATTGTGGCACTACAATGCCTGACATTAAAATCAGGCAGCGTGATGTTCGTGCGGAATTGCAATCACTCGACGTCCGGAAAGCTAGTGGACCCGATGGCATCCCAGCAGTTGTTCTAAAACATTGTGCAGCGGAGTTGTCTCCCGTGCTTACGCGACTGTACCAACTCTCTTACTCTTTGGGGCGTGTGCCGGAAGCTTGGAGAGACGCCAATGTGCAACCAGTGCCCAAAAAGGGGACTGCTCAGACCCGGCCAACTATCGGCCGATAGCTGTCACCTCAGTGTTGTGTAAAGTCTTAGAAAGGGTCCTTAACAACCATCTGACCCGCTACCTAGAAGATTACTCTCTAATTCACGATCGTCAATACGGATTTAGGCCGAATCGATCGACTGGTGACCTTCTAGCGTACGTGACACACATCTGGGGTGAAGCTATAGACAAGCGGGGAGAGTCTCTGGCTATTAGCCTTGACATCGCCAAGGCTTTTGACAGGGTCTGGCACAAGAGCCTTCTCTCCAAGCTTCCTGCATACGGTCTGCCTGCTCAGCTCTGCGCCTGGGTAGCTGACTTCCTGCATGAGCGTAGAATTCGCGTCCTTACGGACGGATGTAGTTCGCAGTTCATGTCAGTGAATGCCGGTGTTCCTCAGGGTTCCGTTCTATCCCCCACACTCTTTCTGCTGCATATCAATGATTTGATTCCACTTGCGAATATTCATTGCTATGCAGACGATAGCACAGTGCATGCGAGATACTTTGGACACGCGGCGGCTGGACAGGTAGAAACCATGGAGAAACGGGAGAATCTTGTCGTTGAGCTCAATCGGGCTTTAGACCACATTTCCGAATGGGGTACTAGGAACTTGGTTGAGTTCAATGCCAAGAAAACTCAGGCTTGCGCTTTCACGGCAAAAACATCGCCATTCCTTCCCCTTCCCTCTCTTCAGGGCACAACACTGGCGCTACAGAGCAATATTACGATGCTCGGTATGGAAGTTCGCTCAGACCTGAATCCAAAGGACTACATCGAAACGTTGATCAAAACAGCTTCACGCAAACTCGGAGTCCTGAACAAGGTGCGGCGTTTTTTCACGCCCGATCAACTGTGCTTGTTGTACAAAACACAAGTGCGGTCCTGCGTGGAATATTGCTCGCACCTCTGGGATGGCTCCGCAAAGTACTTACTCGATGCCTTGGATAGGTTGCAGCGGCGCGCTGCCCGCATCATTGGCGATGAAGAGGCAACTAAGAAACTCGAGTCTCTACAATTACGCCGTGATGTGGCATCATTAAGCGCATTCTACCGAATATACCACGGCGAGTGTTCTGAGGAGCTATTCTTGCTTATCCCTCCATCACCTTTTCTTCAGAGGACCACGCGCGCTGGCCTACGTTGCCATCGACTTACTGTGGCCACTATTCCTACACGAACAAAGAAATTTGGCGACTCATTTCTTTGTCGTACTATTCGTAAGTGGAATTCTTTACCCGCGCACGTGTTCCCTCCTTCCTATAATCTGGGGTCCTTTAAGAGAGGCGTGAAGAAGCATTTTTGCGGGCCGGCAAGGTGAGGATGGTTGGTGTAGCAGTTAATAACTGCTGTACCAGCTATCTTCGCGTTTGGACTTTATCACCACTTAACATCAGATGGGGTAGAGTCATTTGCCTACCTAGTAATATAAAAAAAAAAAAAAAAAAACCTCAAACGATATAAAGTACGTCACTTTAACCGGAAGTTTACTAGCGTGTGACGTCATTTTAGTCTTGGCCAATCGCAGGCGTTTCGATCACGTGACCACGGAGCAAAAACATCATTTCTATTCAACGATTTTATAGATAAATTATCTGTTCATAATTGTAATAAAAACAGTGCTAATGTTAATATTAAATACAGATGCCAACAATTGGTATATTATTTTTGATACTGTCAAATGTGCACATGTTATTAAGTTTATATTGAATTATAATTTAAGAATAAAAATTTTGTCATCGTTAAGAATCCATTGGACTTTTTCATGCATACTTTACACATCCTCTCACATACACCCATTCACTCGCACATTACACACAGAGAGGTCATTCACTTAGACAATTTTTATTTTAACAGTTTTATAAAATCCAAATAAGTATTTCTTGTAATATCAGTATCAGGGCTGGTTGAGGCCGACGGAGCCCTGCGGCCGGCCCGCGTTCAGCTCGTCCACTAGAGCCTCCAGGTCGCGCCTCGTCTGCTGGAGCCCCAGGGGCAGGGGCAGGGACAGTACCTTGCACGTGGCCGCAGTGCAGGTACACGTAGGGCTGGTTGAGGCCGACGGGGCCCTGCGGCCGGCCCGCGTTCAGCTCGTCCACTAGAGCCTCCAGGTCGCGCCTCGTCTGCTGGAGCCCCAGGGGCAGGGGCAGGGACAGTACCTTGCACGTGGCCGCAGTGCAGGTACACGTAGGGCTGGTTGAGGCCGACGGGGCCCTGCGGCCGGCCCGCGTTCAGCTCGTCCACTAGAGCCTCCAGGTCGCGCCTCGTCTGCTGGAGCCCCAGGGGCAGGGGCAGGGACAGTACCTTGCACGTGGCCGCAGTGCAGGTACACGTAGGGCTGGTTGAGGCCGACGGGGCCCTGCGGCCGGCCCGCGTTCAGCTCGTCCACTAGAGCCTCCAGGTCGCGCCTCGTCTGCTGGAGCCCCAGGGGCAGGGGCAGGGACAGTACCTTGCACGTGGCCGCAGTGCAGGTACACGTAGGGCTGGTTGAGGTCGGGATGCGTGGCGGACAGCTTGCGCGGGATGACCAGCGTGTTGAGGCCGACGGGGCACTGCGGCCGGCCTGCGTTCAGCTCGTCTACTAGAGCCTCCAGGTCGCGCTTCGTCTGGTGACAATCGGTTAATAAATAAACATCTCTTATCTATTAGACAAGTCCGTCCGTCCGTCCGTCCGTGGTGCTGTTTCAGCGGCCAAACCGTAAGAGATAGATATAGAGAATGTTTAAGTTATAAGTTAAGAATAGTCTGATAAGACTACAAACCGGATGTGAGTAACGTAGCACTTCCGGTTTTCGAGAAATCACGTGATTTCTATTTCAAACGAAACCACACAAAATCTCCGAAGTTCTCAATTAATTAAATACTTTTTTTTTTTGGTGAACATTTGGTTCACAGGTTTGCTAGTCTAAATATAATAGGGTAATTGATACTTTAAGAAAACGATCTCCCGTTATTTACTAATGTTTCTAGAGTCCACAAAAAGGATATTCATCATTCTGGTTTCTTTGGACATTATGGCGTCTCACTGGTGTGTCGTCACCCGAATGCCACTAAAATGTTAAACGATACTATGTAATGTCACGTTGACCGGAAGTTTACTAGCGTGTGACGTCATTTTTGTCTACGCCAATCCCAGGCGTTTTCGGTCACGTGATTATAGAACAAAATCATTTCTATTTAATGATTGTTTAGAAAAGTTATTGAAATTTTTGTTTTCTTTGAATAATAAAATCTCTGCTTATATTCAAATTAAACATAGTACTGTCAAATAGCTTATTCAATACAATACTAACACAAAAAACTGCACAATATACAAAGATACAGAAGTCCAGCTGTAAAATAAAATAAAAGATAAAATGATGCAAGAATAAGCGATAAGACGCAAGAGTACATCGTCTCCATTATATTACAGGGAACACAGCTAATGACCTACGCAGACGAAAGACTTTTATCCGCAAAGAAGAAAAAGCCCTGTATTGTAAAAAAAATGTCCTTCGAGAAATGTGTCACAGACTCAACGCACGCAATGTGTGACAATTTGTCCCCCGAATATTTAGAAAAGCACACGCTATGGGAATAAATATTCTCAGATTACGTTTATAATTAACATGAACTTTAAGATAAAATACTTTTAATTCGTCAGACCGCTTAAGAGATTAACTGATAAATTTTGGCAGACAAAAAATACTGCGGGCAAAAATCCCTAATCTACGCAGGCTAATAGGTAAAGCTAGATTTAAGCAGCACGCTTAGTGAAATTTTTTGATACTAAATTAACTTCAACCCTAGTAGCTCTTGGCTAAGGCGGATATCTACGACAGCTGGCTTTCTGTGTCTACTTATTTTTTGTGATAAAAACCCATCAACAAATATATGAAGTAAGTCTATAAGTACGCGCCTCACACATAAATTCAAGCTTTTATCCCTTGCACCTAAGGAGCTCGATGGCGCAGGTGGTTAGCGCGTTCAGCTGCGATCGTTGAACTTAAGCAACTTTCGCAGTGGTCGGTCATTGGATGGGTGACCAAAAAATCTTCTATCTCTAGTTCCGTGCTTCGGCAGGCACGTGAAGCCATTGGTCCCGGCTGCATCTGCAGTCGTTAGCACCCGCCAATCCGCACTGGGCCCGCGTGGTGGATCATGGCCCAATCTCCCTAAACCATCCATAGGGAAGACCTGTGCCCCAGCAGTGGGGACATTAATAGGCTGACGATGATGATGACGATGATCCCTTGCACCTTATGTTTTCATACATCATTATATTCTAAACTCCTTCAGAATGTGTACAAACAGTATGAATGTATGAATTCTAGTGTTACCGGTGAGTTTTTCAGTCCCTCGGCGCTCCTCCACAATAGGGTGGCGCCGCACAGGTCGATCATGGTGCCGTCTCGCAGTACATTCGTCTCCGACTGGCACGGCATACCCTGCGAAACATACAATCCAACTATATCTATCTATATATATAAAACTCAAAGGTGACTGACTGACATAGTGATCTATCAACGCACAGCCCAAACCACTGGACGGATCGGGCTGAAATTTGGCATGCAGGTAGATGTTATGACGTAGGCATCCGCTAAGAAAGGATTTTGATCAATTCTACCCCGAAGGGGATAAAATAGGGAATGAAAGTTTGTATGACTACACTTCAGCTCTACGACGAAGCGAAGCGAGGGCGGGCCGCTAGTTACATATAAAGCAGAAGAAAAATTATGTGCACGGGCCACACATCTGAAGTAAAACTTCTTTTCTTAAATAACCTAACCTTATGCCTTATGCACCGCCTAACATTAGGCGGTGCATAAGGCATAAGGGAATGGAGCAGCGCACGCATCACTCATATATATGTAAATATATATATATTGTTGCGTGTGACGTGTGTTTTCGGAAGGTACGTTAAGCCGTTGGTCCCGGCTGCATCTGCAGTCGTTAGCACCCACCACTCCGCACTGGGCCCTCGTGGTGAGTCATTGGCCAATTCTGCCTATTCCATCCATAGGGAAAACCCGTTCCCCAGCAATGGTGACATTAATAAGCTAGTGATGATGATGGTGTTCTATTTTTATGATAATGGTAGGGGAAAAATATGGGCTATTCAAAAGAATTTTATGGTGCACACACAAAACTTACACTTTTTTTTTATAATGCATATAATGATAAATAAAATAGACTTGCAACGAATAGTATATTCGGCAGTATACCGAATACCGAATATTCGGCGAGGCCCCTCACCGAATAGCCGAATATTAGGCAAAAGTATTCGGCTGGATTTTAGCGCCAAAAACTTGTACAGACGTGATTGTTTCGCGCTCCTTTGTTTTGTTCTAATCTGCCGTCCTCAAGCTAAAATGCGGCTAAATGACAAAACCAACTTTTGAGATATGGCCAAAAACGGCGCGTAAACTTTAAATTATTGCTATTATTGAACCATTCATCACATGACTGAATGAATTAAAAACTGTTAACTTGTTTAATACAGAAAATGATTAAATTTTGTACCAATGACTACTTAATAAATGATTATAAAAGAAATGAGAAGCTTACCATTATAAATTTTGATTATCACAATAATTGAAATACATAGAATCCTCCATTTTTCCAATTCAGAAGATGATTATGTACCTGTGTTATGTACCAATGACTACTTAAATGATTATATAACAGAAATCTAAATATGAATATATGGGTCGATCAATTTTTATTGCTACATTGCCCAAAATAGTGTTTTTTAAATTTTTTCGTAAAGAGTTACTTTTTTAAATTTCATATAATAGATGATTTAATAATTTTTATGATCCGGTAACGGGCAATGACGTTTTCTTAAATTACAAAAATTTAGAGGAAAAATATCCACCAACCTCAGCAAAATCCGTCCCTTGGACCACTAACACTATAATTTTTTTAAATAACTCAACTAACAATAATAATTAAAGAAAATCCATTTTTTTATTATATCGTAACATTTTCTCTACATTTTAATATTCGTTTAAATAAAGTAAAGCATAATTTATTTAATATTCTACTACTAATGATCCGTTGTCCAGTGGATCTTTTTTGCGTAATGAAACTTTCCTATAAAACTGAAAATAATGGTAATAAATGCAACATTATACCACAGACCATTTAGTTTAATTTGTACTTTCTATCCTTCCAATAAACATAAATAATTTTATAATTTAAAGCCAAAAAAACAAATAAGAACTGATTTTCAATGTGGGGACAACTTGGTTGCCCAATGGACATTAACAGTTGTCCAAAGGAAATACTTCGACTTAAAAAGCATATTTTAGTGTTTTATTTTTAAATAATAAAAAAATATATAAATAAAGGTAAAAAAAATATTCAAATTCTTATGGTCTTACGACGTAGAACGGTCTATATTTTGTTAAATTGAAATAAGAACTTTTTATTCCTGGATTTTCAGACTTAAAAGCTTTAAAAAGATTTTTCATAGACTCCAAAAGAAACCGTTTTTGCATCTTCATTTTGCCTTTAGTGACAGTTTCTTTTTTACCAGCGGTATTCCTTTTTTTGAGAGTTCTGTATGTCCATGGCGCGTTGTTGTTTTTGCCCTGACTTGATATTTTAAATCTAAGCTCTCTTTCATGATTTTATTTTTTTGCGCTGTATGCATGTTATCAAACATATTCTTCCACTCAGTTTTCGCTCATCTGTCTTTAGTTTTCTTGTATTTTTCTTTGATAGCATTAGTCAATATATTATATTTATAGACTACCTCACAATCTACCTTAGGATTATTCTCTTTAGGTTTTAAATTCTCTTTCACCTGAACTAATTCTTTCTTCTTACGATTAGCTCTCTTATTAAAATTTTCGTATTTTTTCTTCCACATCTTTGCTTCAATTCGTAGTTTCAAATTTTCTCTTTACAATTAGATCTATCTCTGCGTTTTTTTTTCTTCCTCTTTCTTTACATTCAGGATCCAACGCAACAGCAGGAGGAGGCGGTGCGACTGCTTGTTGTTCTTGTGGTATATCATATTCCTCCAATTTTTTTAGGTTTTCCTACCTTTCCTCCAAAATATTCGGAGAAATTGCGGGTGTATTGAAAAATACATCTCGTACTACTTGCATTCATTTCCTCTGCTCCTGTTTACGCAATTTCCAAATAATTCTGCATTCTTTTGCTCCTCAGGCTGCATACTTGAAATTAACTTTTTGTGTTTATGATAGCTTTCTCAGTTCTTTCTCTTCCTTTCAGCTAATTTTTATGGGCACGCTTTAAGCCTCTCTCTGTATCGTCTCGATTTTTCTTTCTCCGACAATCCCATTTTCAAAAAATTTTTCAGCACATGGCATTCAAGACCACACCGAGGCATCTAGTCTCAAACTAAGCCGAAGCTTGTACTATACTCTGGGTACTAAACATCTGATGAACTCAGATACATGTTCATTAACACAAAAGTTACTGTGCGGGATTCAAACCCACTGACCTCTTGGTGTAGAAGCAATAGTCACAACCAATGCACGAATAAATATTTAATTTATAGATGTTTATTATCAAAATAATATTATTTGTCCTAAGGACAACCAAAATGTCCTACGGACCACCAATTTCGTTGTCCAAGTGACTGGTTGTCCGTAAGACGTTTTATAAACTTTTGGCTTCCTATTAAATAATAACGTTTTATTGCCTCTTTTCCTACTCTCACAGTAAAATCTAGCTGACACAACATCTAGTACAATATAGTTAATTGTTAAATATTGAGTACTTATGGAATTCTGACGGTTGTCCGCTGGAACGACAATAAGAACACGCACTTTCACTTACGGAACTCGCCCGACTGACGCCACGCCTTTGTTGAAATAAAAATGGCGGTAGGACGCGACATCTTCTTAGAGAGACGGCCTTGTTGCTAACGTACTCAGCCGCCATCTATGTTTTTTTCGCATACTAAATTAGCGGTGGTCCAGGTGACGTTAGCTAAGCAAACATTTTTGGGGACACAAGTAAAATAAAATAGTTTGGTAATTTTTATTAACCTTAATAAATACCAATATGTTTTATTAACAGAGTACATACTTGAAAGTGATTTTTTTCAATTACTGAGAATTGTTTCATCGAGTTTTTTTTCGTAATGGAAATAGTTTTGATGACCTGTTTCCGGAGGACATTCCGTGATATCACGAAATGACCGATTTGTCTTTAGGACAACCATAAAAGATTGCTTAGTTTGAACCAAAACTCAATATTTCTTTGATTATATGTTTGTAAATGTTTCTAGGAATACATAAACTATGATTTTAGCGCATATTTTTTGGTAGATTTTGTATTATGCTTATGGGACAGGAAAAGGGTAACATCGAGCAAGGAATAGTTGATTGACCCATATACGTAATCAATCGATTTTGATTTTTCATTTTACCAATTATTTCTCTATGACAAAATAGGGAAGATGCAATATTTTTATTTTCATTTTAAAGAATTCCATGTAGAATAAACCACAGATATATTAAAAAATTAAAACATTGTGATTTATCGGAAAAAATGCGGTTTTAAAATTGACAATTTAAATATTCGCGCGATAACGAACCTATGGTTGCGATGACGTCATTCCTGTCTGTCACTGGTCGTACTTGTTCGTCGCTGGCTTTAAATTTTCATACTTTTGCATATTTTTCGACTTTCGAAATATTTTTTGAAAAATTTAAAATGGACTATCCATCAACATCATGTGATCATAACAATACCACTAATATTCCGAAAAAAAGCCATGTTGACTCATGTTTTGTGCCAATCTACTTCAACAAAGTTCCCAAATAAATTGTTTTTGACTGCAACTTCTGACCCAAAACTGAATTCTCCATCTATTTTAATTTGGACATAGCCGATTGCATTATCGCCGTAAGATTTGTAGAAGCCGCTGAATAAAATACGAAGTTTAACAACTACGATTTTTACATACCGTAGTAATTTAGTCCCTTTCATTTCTACACTTAAAAACTCTGCACTTTGGACAAAAAAAGTTATAACCATGTCAACGCTAACTCTTGGTAAATTCCTGGAGTCTGCTTTGATAAACGCAACTTCCATTCTTATTAAATGTAATAAAACGCAATAAATATACCCATAAAATAATATTTACTTTAACAATCATAACCTCAAAGAAGTTGTCATAACATGAGTGACGTCACTAAACTCTGATTGGTGTTTTAAAATACGTTCTGTTTCAAGTATTTTTAATTCGTAATAATTGTTAAAAAACAACATTATGTAAAATAAAAACGTTGCAGTGGCATTTCTTTTATATGTTTTTAACATTTTAATCATAAAAATTTCATAAATATTATATATGCATCTTCCCTATTATTATTTAAGTATTCGGTATTCGACCGAATAATATGTAGATATTCGATATTCGGCCGAATATAATAAAAGCAGCCGAATAGACCGAATACCGAATAGTAACCGAATATTCGTTGCAAGTCTAAAATTAAATATAAGGGTATTTGACAAGTTTTAGAAAACGATCTCACGTTATTGACTAATGTTTATGGAGTCCGTAAAAATTATTATGTTATGTATTTCAGTAAAAATAACCAAATCAAAAATTCCATTTTCAAGTTGCCGCGAAAACGTTTTTCTGGACAATATGGCGTCTTACTAGTGTGTGACGTCACACGACTGTTATTAAAACGTCAAACGGTACAATGTAATGTCACTTTAACCGGAAGTTTACTTGCGTGTGACTTCAAGCGTTTTGGGTCACGTGACAATATATAAGAAAACTATTATCTTATTCGTGGGTTTTAAGTAAAATTATGAATATTTTTTTTGTTAAAATAGTAAAAACCCCTGCCAGTGTACATTCTAAACACAGATGCTAACAATTGGCACTTTATTTTTAATACTTACAAATACCCTATTAAATAATTATACATAGTTACTTTTCATTCGAAGGCAGGTGCGAGGCGCAATAATCATTAAATTATTAATAACATTTCTGCAGAGTCACAGTCAGACACCACAAATTATCCGAGTCGGTAATGAAAAAATCTACCTACCACCTACTTTAGCTGGTATTTTTAATCAACTTTTTTTTTTTTACTGATTATTACATAATCACAATGGCTCGGTGTTTCCCTACGTGATAAGATCCGAAATACGGAGATCCGTAGAAGGACCGGTGTGTACGACATAGCCCGAAGAGTTAGAAGGGCGCTGATTCTCATCCCATTTCATATGATTCTCATCCCATTTCATATATCTACTTACCCAAAGTATGAAGATAATCCCCAATCAGTTCTGCTGCTTTAGTTGACTAAATAAGAGGTGATTAAACACCTCAATCAAGCCTCTTCAACTACGTCGTCATGTGGCATCATTAAGCGTATCCTAACGTCTGTACCACGGCGAGTGTTCTGAGCAATTATTTTTCCTTATCCCACCTTCTCCTTTCCTTCAGAGGATAACACGCGCTGGTCTACATTATCAATAAATTACTGTGAAGTCTGGCGCCAGGGGCAGCACGTGGCACTACCGCCGCAGAAGTATGGAGTATTACCTTCTGTAGAAGTATGTAGTGTTGTTACCTTCTGCTGCGCCGAGCGGCTCTCCCGCAGTGAGAACACTGCGCCGCCTACTGAAGTCTCGCGCCAGGGGCCGCACGTGGCACTACCGCCGCAGAAGTATGGAGTATTATCTTCTGTAGAAGCAGGTAGTGTTACCTTCTGCTGCGCCGAATGGCTCTCCCGCAGTGAGAACACTGCGCCGCCACTAAAGGCTCGCGCCAGGGGTCGCACGTGGCACTACCGTCGCAGAAGTATAGAGTATTACCTTCTGTAGAAGCATGTAGTGTTACCTTCTGCTGCGCCGAGCGGCTCTCCCGCAGTGAGAACACTGCGCCGCCTACTGAAGTCTCGCGCCAGGGGCCGCACGTGGCACTGCCGCCGCAGAAATCGCCGCGTGGGTGCATCATCAGCACGCCGTTCGTCGTCAAACCATCGATCTCGTGGTTCTCTGTCCATTTCGTCGCCTTCTCCTGTAAATAAAGCGAGTTCCGTCAGTATTGTCTCACATTCTCGTAGCCGCCATGAGCGACGCACCGAGCGATGAGAACAATGTAATAAAATGTTAGGAGCACGCCACGAAGCGAAGACCAAAAGGCCGGAGCTAGCGTAAAGACCAGTCTACCGAATGCACGCGCAGCACAGCACTTCCGTCCATTCTGCTTACGAGTATATAGGTATAGGTAAATACATATCTCTATCACAAAGACAAGCGTGTGCGTGGGTCACTAATAGACACTTACAGAAGACCACAGTAAAATAGCACTACCTTTTGGTGGTGCAATTCTGCTGGTGAATAGGGATCTTAGGCTCCACGGGGTAGGGATTGGGTAAAGGCCAGTAAGGCGAGGATGCCTGGAGCGGCACAACTCCTGAAGAATCATTTATATCTTCGCGACTGGACTCCACTTACACTAACCATCAGGTTGGGTGGGCTAATCTGTTGCGCCTAGTACAAAAAAAGAGTGACGTTGCTCGCACCTGATCGGTCACCCGTTATGTATTGAACTTCCTAAACTAACACAACAGGCTAGAACTAGAATCGGTGATCCCGACGCGACATCACAAGGCGTGTGTAAATCTGAAGCATTACTCACACCAAGGAATATGTTCCTGGAGGAGTCGAAGCCGGCTGCGAAGATGCGGCAGTTGTTGACGTCGTTGCGGTCGGCGAGGATGCGGCACGCGAATCGCGATATAGTGCTCTGCAGCACCTTCGTGTCGCCGCTCTTGTCGCCCGCCACCGTGTCCATGACCACGAAGTCGATAGGCGACTCCGACGATCTGCCGATCTGTGGGCAAAACAAAGAGGAAGTCGTTAGGTAAATGCGTAATAATTTTAGCATATAGGTATCTCGGAATATATACAAATATATTGTAAAGCTGAAGATTATGGTTTGTTTGGTTCAACGCGCTAATCTCAGGACCAACTGGTCCGATTTGAAAAACTATTTTTATTTTGGACAGTACATTTATCGAGGAAGGCTAGGAAGGTGGAAGGATAAATTTCTTTTGAGAGCTTTCGTTGAGTGCGCGTTGTGAACGGTTAAAGTTACACAAAAATTACGTATGACGGAATTGTTGCCCTTCAAAAGTTGTATAGAAAAAGTCCACGATAGGATATGTCCATCTTTAAGTTTGACTCACTATACCTTTTCCCTCAAATTAACGCGAGTGTAACCTCAGGAGACCTTTACTAATTTATATAGAAGAAATGATGAAATGGAAAAGAACAGAATGCAGAACGGAACAAATTCGTCCTACTTTCATAAATAAGCCCTATAATGTATTAGAAAATATTATTGAATATGTATTATTATAAAAATCCTATGATTGTTTGTTTGCTTGACGGCGGCAATCAATCAGGCAAAAAGATTAAATTTGAGCACGACTGCTGTGTGTAAAGCGGTAAATCGAAAAATTGAGACAGAGAAGTGTGACTTGTATTGAACAAGTCCAAATGTCACCGTGACAAAAACAAGAATACAATAAATACCACTGACATTGGAAAAAGTAATCATAGAAGCAATATGGCGTTGATTATTAAATAATAACCAAGAATCATGTTATCAAAAAGAAGGTTATTTACGAACGCGACGTTATTATTTGGGCCTCGATCTAAGGTTACATAATACGCGGTGATATTGATAAAAATCAATTGGTAAAGATTTAAGTACAATAAAGCTCGGCCTGTAACGTATAGTCTGCTTAAATTAAAAAAAATGGAATCAGAAGAATTTGGGCTGAAAAATACCAGAACTTCACGCGAAATACTTACGATATATTTTTCTAATCTGGTCCCAAAAAAATCTGAACCTTTTTAAACGGGATCATGAAATGACAAACAGATATCAAAGTAACTAATTGATTTCTAGTCCGGTATAATTTTGGGCAAAAAATTATAAATTTGTCAACATGATCGTTTCTTAATTATTCACAATTTTGATAAAGTTTTTTCAGAGAAGTCCAGGATTGTCCATGCTTCACATCGTAAACGGGTAACTTGTGAAACATCAAGCCTAAATCAATTAAAATTCAACACGTGTTTGCATCGATGTAGCAACAAGTTAACGATTACAACAATAGCGACCACGCCAATTAATAAAGTTAATCAATATCTCGTTAATGAATCGCATTCAGCGCAGAGCTAATTAGTGATATTAGCCAATTCGTTGCAACTCGTTTGATTTGGATGATGTTCTAATAGCTTGCAAGATTTCAAGCTAGAAAATAAAAATGTCTTAGGCTGCATGTATGTTACAGAGTGCTTTGTCTCTTTTCATTGGAGCTGAAAAATTACATTTGAGTAATGTGAACATCATATGTCCTGACATCGTCGATCCCACAGTGCCTAAAGACGATAGTCTTCAATCAGTGCGTCCTACCTGTGATGACATACGGAGCCGAGACGTGGACACTGACGGTACGGCTGGTCCACAGGTTCAAAGTCGCTCAGCGCGCTATGGAAAGGGCTATGCTCGGCGTTTCTCTGAATCGCATCAGAAATGAGGTAATCCGACAGAGAACTAGAGTTATCGACATAGCCCACCGGATTAGCAAGTTAAAGTGGCAGTGGGCTGGCCATATTTGTCGAAGAACCGATAACCGTTGGGATAGACGAGTTCTGGAGTGGAGACCGCGTCTAGGCAAACGTGGTGTAGGACGTCCTCAGGCGCGATGGAGTGACATTTGAGCAAGGTGGCTGGCAGGAGCCGGATGCGAGTAGCCCAAGATCGATCTGAGTGGCGTGCATTTAGAGAGGCCTATGTCTGGACATAGTCCACTGCTGGCAGTGGACTAAGATAGGCTATTGATATTGATGATGATGATGATGAATGTGAACAAAGCAGTGTGTCATTAGTTGTCCAAAGCTTATTCTTCGGTAAGACGTTGATAAATCTCTTTCGAGAACTTGTAAAGCTATTTTTGTCATGCTTCTCCCAATCACGAAACAAAGATCCTTGCAGTTCTTGCTCCTTTCTTTTTATGACATCTATAAAATACAATACTTGATAAAGCCTTGACCATTTTCCATCACTGAAAAAGGCAAGCGCCAGCCAACCTTCGACAGCAGCCAGAATAGAAGCTTATTAGGCCTTTGCAAGGCTAAGCAATCTCGTCGAATCCCATAGCAATTTTACGCAGTTGACTAAATCAACACTACAATTTAAATCTGCATAGATACTAATGACAATATTATTTAAACAACAATAAACATCAACACCTTAAAATAAATAACAATTTTGTTCATTATTTGCAAAATTCCTGACTAATTCCCTTTTTCCAATTTTTCTTATATTTATGTTCAGACACGAAAAATTTTAAATTAAATGGATATTCATAATGATGGATGATGATACATCGTAAGTCATAAAAGTGAAATTAGAGTTTTTGAAATGACATATTATTTTTATGAATATCTTGTACACTGATTAAAAACAATGTATGTATGTAGAGTTAGGGACTGAGTCGATTTTTTTGTTCGCGTGCAGTGTAGTGTAGGAAAGATTCAATATTAAAAACGAACTCGTAACTTGGGAGACCTTGGCCGTGATCCATGGCTACGCAAATTGCCGACTTCCGATCTATCACAAAGGCTTTATTAGGCCTTTGCGAGAATGAGCATGCCAGCTAAAACCGGTAACAATTTTCCGCTGATAACTAATCGACCCGATCTAAACCCCTTGACTAATAACCGAGTGCATCGACGGCGTGGCGGGCGCGTTCGACGGGTGTGAAGGCTGTGTTACGTCACTGCTCCGTCACGGTGTGCGCTCGCGCCGCTCTAATTGCCAATGCCAGAGGGAGACGGAAAGATACAAGAATTGGAGCTCTATTTTTGAATCACTCGTCTGACATAGTATCGTCGAAGACATAAGTCACCTTCCACTTTCAAGTCACATAATACTGATTTTCCGTATTTTTGAATCACTCGTCACCAGTGTTACCTGTTTGATACGAAATACGAACTTTTACACATTTCACGCAGAAATAATAAAAATCGGTACTCTTATCGCTACTACTCTTTGTCGTTTCATATAAAGCATGACAATGATAGATTATCGTCGTCTAATAGCACAAAAAAAAATGACAATTATTCTATCATTCGCCTCCACCATTCGCCATGCAGCGAGTGGTCTCACCCATTCGCTGCACTCGAGTGATTCAAAAATACGGAATTAATTATGTCGAATGAAAATTAGTAGAAATCGAGCGTTCGACGGAAGACGAGTGATTCAAAAATAGAGCTCCTGGCTAGACAGCAAAAACGTCGACAGTTAAATTGTAAACCACGAAAATTACTTTATTTATACACGGTATATCTACGTGTTCTAAAGCAACTGTGTAGTAGAGATCTGAATGCGTGTGCAGCATTGAATAAGTATAACTTATTTCTGAATTTTCTCATCATTTTAGAGTATTTTACTGCAATTTAAAATAATGTCGCACTGTGAACAGCAGTCCTTCTCTATTTGCAGTATATTGGAACTACATATAAATAAACATTTCCAACAACCACACCAATTAGCCTAGCCCCAAAGTAAGCACTGTATGCTTGTGTTACGGGATACTAGGGTAACGGGCAATCCGTACATATTCTGATACATATATAATTATATTTATAAAGAAATACACAATATTAATTACAAATAGTACAAATGCTCGAATTTGTCAAACAAACATCTGTCCCCACCGGGATTCGAACCTGGGACCTCCCGAAAAGACGATACCTCGAAACCCATCGTAGATACCACTCGTCCACGAAGGTCGTCAAACAATGAATTTATTAATTTACAACAAGAGCATGGTTGATATAAGAAAGAAAGAAAGAAAGAAAGAAATTATTTATTGACCCTATAAAATTTCACATAAAAAACATAGATAACAAACAGAATAAGGTCAACTAGGTCCCTGCCTCAGCACAATGCCACAACGACACCAAGGCCGCTGCGGCGCTGATATTCTGGCAGGGCCTAAGGTTGACGTGAATAAAAAATTAACAAACGACACAATCACGATTAACAATACCACAAACAAAAAAAAAACAATGTAAGTAAAAACGAAAAAAAAAAAATATATGTAAAGGCTGAGTATTTTCTTTTCCTTTGCCTTAACGCTAACAACCATAAAATAATTAAAACAATAAAATTTGATAGTCTCAAGTCTGTGGAAAGGTGGAAAGATTGTTGTGCATGACTAACTTTATTATTTTACTATTAGAAACTCAATTATTGGTACAATATTGCTATGAGTAAGTTTGTTTCTCTGGAATACCTATCCACCAATAGAAAACATAGATAAAGAGTGAGATCCAGTAGGTATGTACAGTAAACACATCATCAAATATATATGTATATTTTTTTTTTATAAAAACTCAGTTGGGTTTAAGAAAACAAAGAAAATTGCTTTGGTAAATTTTAAAATCTATCAATTTCTACGATCATACACTCCATCTACACTTGGTAAACCCGACAGGTTAGCACGTTCCATAAATTAATACCACTCTCCGTTACGTCTACACCACGAACGAACAATCGAACCGTAATTAATATCGTAGAAAACCGTTTCAGCTTACTTGTGTGACAAAGTTTTCGTTACCGAACCAATTAACGGCGAGAAACCTTGTTTGGAAACACGATACCATATTTTGTTCTGAGAGGTGTAATTTCAGAAACTACATATTGGGTTATGTAACTTATACTCGGTCGGATATACTTAAGTAGGTAAGTTTTGAATGACACTAGATATGATTAATCTAATAATTGGATAAAAGAGGGACAATAACTCCTTC